GCCACTTATCAATCGGTCTAGTTGCTATAATATTGTTTTGTTTTTTAATCTATAGACCCACTAAGAAAATCCAACAAATGCTATGTTCATCAATGAACAAGAGGGATCCTCTCACCTCTGTAGGAGTCTACCGTATACCATGCAGCTGTGGACAAGTCTACATAGTGACCACCAAAAGCAGCTTTGCCCAAACACGAATCAAGGAACATGAAAGGCACTGCAGACTACTTCAACCAGAGAAGCAGCCATAGCAGAGCACCTGATGAACCAGCCTGGACACAATATTATTTGAGAACACAGAAATGCTGGAACACTCTTAACAGCTACCACGTCAAGCTACACAGAGAAGCCATTGAAATCCATAAGCATGTGGAAAATTTGGGCTCAAAGCCAACTTTAAAAACACTGGCATAGACACTGAGAACTGGGAAGCTCTGGCCTTGAGCGCTCTAGCTGGAAGTCAGCTGTGACCAGCAGTGCTGTAGAACTTGAAGAGGCACAAATGGAGGGCGAAAGAGAGAAACGTGCCAAGAGGAAGGCGCATCAAGCCAACCCCAACCGAGATTATCTTCCACCTGGAAACCAGTGCCCTCACTGCGGAAGAAGTCACCTCATGATGTGGCCAAAGTACTTCAACTTTGTCTCTAATATCCTTCCCTCCAATGAGCAGTCGGGCTTTATTTCCTGGAGGATGGACTGGTTGGATCTTCTCGCAGTCCAAGGCACTCTCAGAACTTTCCTCCAACACCACAGCTCAAAAGCATCGATCTTCCTTTGCTCAGCCTTCCCTAAGGTCCAGCTCTCACATCTGTAGGTTACTACAGGGAATACCATGGCCTTGACTAGGCGGATCTTTGTTGCAAGTCTGATGTCTCTACTCTTCACTATTTTATCGAGACTGGACATTGCTCTCCTCCCAAGAAGTAAGCGTCTTCTGATTTCCTGGCCACAGTCTGCATCTGCAGTAATCTTTGCACCTAGAAATACAAAGTCTGTCACAGCCTCCACGTTTTCTCCCTCTATTTCAGTTGTCAATCATTCTTGTTGCCATAATCTTGGTTTTTTTGACGTTTAGCTGCAACCCGGCTTTTGCGCTTTCTTCTTTCACCTTGATTAGAAGGCTCCTCAGCTCCTCCTCGCTTTCGGCCATCAGAGTGGTGTCATCTGCATATCTGAGGTTGTTAATGTTTCTTCCAACATTTTCACCCCAGCTTTGCATTCATCAAGCCCCGCACATCGCATGATGTGTTCTGCATACAAGTTAAAAAGGTTGGGTGAGAGGATGCAGCCTTGCCGTACGCCTTTCCCAATCTTGAACCAGTCTGTTGTTCCGTGGTCAGTTTTGACTGTTGCTACTTGGTCCTTGTACAGATTCCTCAGGAGAGAGACAAGGTGACTTGGTATTCCCATACCACCAAGAACTTGCCACAATTTATTATGATCCACACAGTCAAAGGCTTTAGAATAGTCAATGAAACAGAAATAGATTTTTCTGAAACTCCCTGCCTTTCTCCATTATCCAGCGGATATTGGCAATCTGGTCTCTCGTTCCTCTGCCTTTTCTAAACCCAGCTTGAACATCTGGCAACTCTCGCTCCATGTATTGCTGGAGTCTTCCTTGCAGGATCTTGAGCATTACCTTACTGGCATGAGAAATAAGGGCCACTGTACGGAAGTTGGAGCAGTCTTTCGCATTTCCCTTTTTTGGTATGGGTATATAAGTTGATTTTTTCCAGTCTGATGGCCATTCTTGTGTTTTCCATATTTGCTGGCAAATGGCATGCATCACCTTGACAGCATCATCTTTTAAGATTTTAAACAGTTCAGCTGGGATCCCGTCATCTCCTGCTGCCTTGTTGTTAGCAATGCTTCTTAAGGCCCATTCAACCTAACTCCTCAGGATGTCTGGTTCTAATTCATTCACCACACCGTCAAAACTATCCTCGATATTATTATCCTTCTTATACAGATCTTCTGTATAGTCTCGCCATCTTCTCTTGATCTCTTCAGCTTCTGTTAGGTCCCTGCCATCTTTGTTTTTTATCATGCCAATTTTTGCCTGAAATTTACCTCCAATGTTTCTAATTTTCTGGAAGAGGTCCCTTGTCCTTCCTATTCTGTTGTCTTCTTCCACTTCCATGCATTGCTTATTTAAAAATAGTTCCTTATCTCTTCTGGCTAACCTCTGGAATTGAGCATTTAACTGGGCATATCTCCCCTTATCCCTGTTTCCTTTTGCTTTCCTCCTTTCTTGGGCTACTTCCAGTGTCTCAGCAGACAACCATTTTGCCTTCTTGGTTTTCTTTTTCTTTGGGACGTACTTTGTTGCCGTCTCCTGAACAATGTTGCGGACTTCTGTCCATAGTTCTTCTGGGACTCTGTTTACTAAATCTAGTCCTTCAAATCTGTTCTTCACTTCCACTGTATATTCGCTCGGAATGTTAGTGAGATCATATCTAACTGGTCTGTGTATTTTCCCTGATCTCTTTAGTTTTATTTAAATTGAGCAATAAGAAGTTCGTGATCTGAGCTACAGTCAGCCCCAGGTCTTGTTTTCACCGACTGGATGGATGTCCGCCACCTTTGGCTGCAAAGGATGTAGTCAATCTGATTTCGGTGCTGACCATCTGGTGAAGTCCATGTGTAAAGCCGTCTTTTAGGTTGTTGGAAGAGAGTGTTTGTTATACACAGCGAGTTTTCCTGGCAAAATTCTATCAGCCTGCGTCCCGCTTCATTTTGTTCTCCCAGACCATGCTTGCCTGTGATCCCAGTTGTCATTTGACTTCCCACCTTGGCATTCCAGTCTCCTGTAATGAAAATAATGTCTCTTTTTGGTGTATTATCCAGTAGGTCCTGCAGATCCTCATAGAACTGACCTACTTCTGCTTCTTCAGCAGCTGTGGTTGGGGCGTATATTTGGATCACTGTAATGTTGAAAGGCTTTCCTTGCACTCGAATTGAGATCATTCTGTCATTTTTTGGGTTGTATCCAAGCACAGCTTTAGCGAATTTCTTATTAATTATGAAGGCTACTCCATTTCTTCGATGTTCCTCTTGTCCGCAGTAGTAGATCTGGTGGTCATCTGATGTGAAGTGGCCCATTCCAGTCCATTTCATCGCTGACCCCCAGAATGTCTATCTTTAGTCTTGACATCTCACCAATAACAACATCCAATTTGCCCTGGCTCATAGATCTTACATTCCAGGTTCCTATGGTGTGTTGATCTTTAGAGCATCGGATTCGTCGTTCACCTCCAGTACCGTCGGCCGCTAGCCTTCCTTTCGGCTTTGAGCTAGCTGCATCATCACATCTGGGGCTAGTTGAACTTATCCTCTGCTCCTCCCCAGTAGCATTTTGGCCATCTTCCGACCTGGGAGTCCCATCTTCCAATGGCATACCGACATATCTCTGGTTGTACTGGTCCATTTAGTTTTCTTGGCAAGGATACTGGAGTGGTTTGCCATTGCCTTCCCCAGGGATCACGCTTGGTCTGACCTTTCTGCCACAACCGTCCCGTCTTGGGTGGCCCTTCACGGTTTCGCTCATGACATCATTGAGGTGCTCAAGCTCCAGCGCCCCGACAAGGCGGTGATCCTTTGCTGGAGCAAATAACTATAAATGTACACAAACACTAAAATCAGTTACATCTATTTTAAAATCAGTTGTTTAAAACTATCTCAAAACACCATGCTGACTCTGGTCAGCAGAGTGGCTTTCCTCTTATTGCCTTATTGCACTGTTCCAAAGGCATGGTCCCACAGTCAGGTTTTTACCATCTTTCTGAAGGACAAGAGGGAGGGGGCTGATCTAATCTCACCAGAAAGGGAATTCAGAAATATTTTTATTGTAATTTAGATCCTTTGAGCCCCACTCTCTGGAGCAGCAGAAAGCAGATTTGCATAGTATTCTATGTGTTTGCCCTTTTGTATTTGGAAATACATCTGGGATTCATGTCACCCCCAGGGACTGTCCCTTGTATGTTGTTGTTCATTCGTTCGGTCGTCTCCGACTCTTCGTGACCTCATGGACCAGCCCACGCCAGAGCTCCCTGTCGGCCGTTACCACCCCCAGCTCCCTCAAGGTCAGTCCAGTCACTTCAAGGATGCCATCCATCCATCTTGCCCTTGGTCGGCCCCTCTTCCTTTTTCCTTCCATTTTCCCCAGCATAATTGTCTTCTCTAAGCTTTCCTTTCTTCTCATGATGTGGCCAAAGTACTTCATCTTTGTCTCTAATATCCTTTCCTCCAGTGAGCAGTCAGGCTTTAGTTCCTGAAGTATGGACCAGTTGGATCTTCTCATGGTCCAAGGCACTCTCAGAACTTTCCTCCAACACCACAGTTCAAAAGCATCTATCTTCCTTCGCTCAGCCTTCCCTATGGTCCAGCTCTCACATCCGTAGGTTACTACAGGGAATACCATGGCTTTGACTATGCGGATCTTTGTTGCCAGTCTGATGTCTCTACTCTTTACGATTTTATGGAGACTGGACATTGAGCACCTAGAGCTTCGGAAAGCTTCTGTTCTACCATCTCAAAGCTCCCTGCTTGAGCAGTAATGGCACGATCATCAGCATAGATGAAACTCTCTGTCCCTTCTGGCAGTGGCTGGTCATTTGTGTAGATGTTGAACATGGATGGAGCAAGCACACTCCCCTGAGGTGTGTGTAGTAAGTAAGTAAGTAATATAAACCTAATTTTCCTAATTTCCAACAGACCTCACAACCTCTGAGGATGCCTGCCTAGATGCAGGCGAAACGTCAGGAGAGAATGCTTCTAGAACATGGCCATATAGCCCCAAAAACCTATAGCAAACCAGTGATTCCAGCCTTGGACAATACATTAAAGGTCTTCTGATTTCGTGGCTGCAGTTACAAAGCAGAGGTGGCGCTGTCGGGAATTGGAAGGAGGAAGCGAGGCCCTTCTCTTTGAGTTTGTGGCTGGGAAGGCTGAGAGAGAGAGAGAGGGAGGGAGGAGAGGAGAGGTGTTTGTGGAAGAGGGAGGAGGAGGAGGAGGAGGGGGCGGGGCCTAAGCGAGGCTGTTCCTGGGCCTCCCTCCTTCCCTCCCTCCCTCCGCAGAGATCGCAGAGCCGAAGGAGCAGCAGCGGCAGCAGCAGCAACAAGGGCCCAAGAGGAGGAGGAGGGGGAGGAAGGCTCTTCTCTTCCTCGCCCGCCATGGCGATCCGCAAGAAGAGCAACAAGAACCCTCCGGTGCTGAGCCACGAGTTCGTCGTGCAGAACCACGCGGACATCGTCTCTTGCATGGCCATGGTCTTCCTGCTGGGGCTCATGTTCGAGGTGAGCCTTGCGGGGCGGGCGGAGGCGGGCCGGGGGCTTCCCTCCAAGGGGTTGCATCCTCGCTGTGGATTCAGTGCAGCTTGGAACCCTGGGAGATGTAGTTTGGCAAGGTCTGGAGCCTTCTCTTGGAGTTGCCTCTCCATCACAACCACTCCCAGGATTTCCATGCTAAAGTGACCAACTATGTGTCGTTAAAGGCTTTCATACCCGGCAGGCATCCTCAGAGGTTGTGAGGTCCTCAGACGTTGAGAGATGCAGGCGAAATATCAGAAGAGAATGCTTCTGGAACATGGCCATACAGCCTGAATAACTTACAGCCACCCTATATTAATTCTGCAGCGTAAATGAACCCATAGAGCAGGCATGGGCAAACTTCGGCCCTCCAGGTCTTTTGGACTTCAACTCCCACAATTCCTAATAGCCATCAAGCTCATGTTTGTAAATGGAGAGCCTTTCCAGGGATGGAGAGAGTTCTAGTAGAAGGAGGGAAGTATTGGAATTGTGGGAGTTGAAGTCCAGGCTGCTAAGTGTTTTGGACTTCAACTCCCACAATTCCTGACAGCTGTAAAGCTCATGTATGAAAATGGAGAGCCCTTCCAGGGATGGAGAGGGTTCTAATAGAAGGAGATAAATATTGGTAGGCTGTTAGGAATTGTGGGAGTTGAACTCCAGGCCACTAAGTGTTTTGGACTTCAACTCTCACAATTCCCAACAGCTGTAAAGCTCATGTTTGCAAATGGAGAGTCCTTCCAGGGATGGAGAGGGTTCTAGTAAAAGGAGATAAATATTGGTAGGTTGTTAGGAATTGTGGGAGTTGAAGTCCCACAATTCCTGGAGGGTCAAAGTTTGCCCATGCCTGCCAAATGGCATCTTCATTGTCATCTTAAGTAGACTTAAAGCCTACCAAAGCTGATACTAGTTTCTCCTTTCTCTCAATGGGCCTCAAAGTTGTCTTTTTTTGCATGCATGAACAAGTGTGTGTTGTCGCATGTGAATGTATTTAGTGACATTCAATCTCTAGGAGCCAGACGTGGGTGCATCCACACTGTAGAATTAATGCAGTTTGACACCACTTCATCTTCAATGGCATCATGGGAGCAGTAGTTTGGTGAGGCATCCACACTCTTTGGCAGAGAAGGCTAAAGATGAGGTCTGGGCAAACTTTGGCCCTCCAGGTGTTTTGGACTACAACTCCCATAATTTCTACTGGCTATTAGGAATTGTGAGAGTTGTAGTCCAAAACACCTGGAGGGCCAAAATTTGCCCTGGCCTGGTCTTTAGCCTTCTCTACCAAAGAGTGTGGGTAGGCTGTTAGGGATTGTGGGAGTTGTAGTCCAAAGCACCTGGAGAGCCAAAATTTGCCCAGGCCTGGTCTTTAGCCTTTTCTACCAAAGAGTGTGGGTAGGCTGTTTGGAATTGTGGGAGTTGTAGTCCAAAGCACCTGGAGGGCCGAAGTTTGTCCAGGCCTGCTCTTTAGCCTTCTCTACCAAAGAGTGCAGGTAGGCTGTTTGGAATTGTGGGAGTTGTAGTCCAGAACACTTGGAGAGCCGAAGTTTGCCCAGGCCTGGTCTTCAGCCTTCTCTACCAAAGAGTGTGGGTTTCTCTTAGGAATTGTGGGAGTTGTAGTCCAAAACACCTGGAGAGCCAAAGTTTCCCCAGGCCTGGTCTTAAAACTTCACTACCAAAGAGTCTGGGTAGGCTGTTAGGAATTGTGGGAGTTGTAGTCCAGAACACCTGGAGGGCCAAGGTTTTCCTAGGCCTGGTCTTTAGCCTTCTCTACCAAAGAGTGCGGGCAGGCTGTTAGGAATTGTGGGGGTTGTAATCCAAAACACCTGGAGGGCCAAAGCTTGCCCAGGCCTGGTCTTTAGCCTTCTCTACCAAAGAGTGTGGGTACGCTGTTAGGAATTGTGGGAGTTGAAGTCAAAAACACCTGGTGGGCCAAAGTTTGCCCAGGCCTGCTAAAGACCACGTCACACTACAACCATGTTTCTATAGCACTGAGCCATGATGCTACCACTGCATTCTCTCAATAAGGTGAGATCCCTTTGCGTATATGGCGGAATGGACTTGGAGGCTTGTGGTCTCTTCCAACTTCTGTGATTCTGTGAATACAGTGCGTGTATGTAGGTGGCAAAGAATCTGTACTGGGTGAAGTCAAAGGCTTGTTCCTGGAAGCAAGAGGTGGCCAAGCTGCTGTCGAATGAATGCAGTTGGAGATCCCTTGAACTGCCACATGTCAGTGCTATGGAATCCTGGGAGTTGTAGTTGCCCAAGAATGGTGAGGCCTCACCAAGCTCCCAAAACTCCATAGCAATGAAAGCAATGTAAGGCTAGATTAATTCTATGCTGTAGAGATGAAGATGGGAAAAGCTGAGGCTAATATTTTCTTTCTCTCCGTGATCCCTTTGCGTACATGGATAAGCCTGTGTTGTTGTTGCATGTGCATGGATTGAATGGAGCAAAAGGCAAGGGGAAGCAAAACATGGTCCTTGGGTGGCTCTATAGTGTTGGATGAATCCTCCTGGGAGATGTAGTTTTGCAAGGTCTTGAACCAAACCACAATGTATTGAGTGGAACAAAAGGCGAGCGGAAGCAAGACATGGTCCTTGGGTGGCTCTATAGTATTGGATGAATGCTCCTGGGACGTGTAGTTTTGCAAGGTCTTGAACCAAACCACAGTGTATTCTTCGGTGTGCAATTAATGCAGTTTGGGCATCACTTGGAATGGAACTGCCACGGGTTAACGTGATGGAATGAATCTTGGGAGTTGTAGTTTGACAAGGTCTTAAGCCTTCTTGGCCATAGAGCAGGCGTGGGCAAACTTGGGCCCTCCAGATGTTTTGGACTCCAACTCCCACCACTCCTAACAGCCTCAGGCTAGCGGCTGAGGGGGAAAAGGAAGGGGCCTGAGGCTGTTAGGAATGGTGGGAGTTGGAGTCCAAAACATCTGGAGGGCCCAAGTTTGCTCATGCGTGTCATACAGTCATCAAACTCCTAGAACCCATTGAGCCAGGGCAGTTAATGTGTCAAGCTGCATTAATGCTACAAGGAAGATGTTCCAGCTGTAAAGCTCATGTTTGCAAATGGAAAGAACCCTGCCAGGGATGGAGAGGGTTCTAATCGAAGGAAAGAAGGGTTGACTCAAGCCTCTCTCCTTTTTCCCAGAGCCCCAAAGCAGAGCAGCATTTGCAGGAGGCGTGGAGAAATCACCCCCACCACCCCGCCATATTCCCCATAGGCTGGCTCCAGTTCCTGGTCTAGGAAGGTTACGTGGCACTGTGAGCGAGCTCTATGGGGAGGGCGGGGAGGCTGGGCTTCCTCTCTGTTTGCAAGCAGGGTTTGTTTTTTCTCAGGTTGCCAGAACAGGAAGAGGGTTGGAGAGGAGGAGGAGGAGAGGACGGCCTGTCCTTTGTGTGCCCAGCAGCAGGACTACAAACCCCATGGGGCGCTGCGGCAAGCAGCCCATCCTTTCTCTCTCCCCCCTCCACTTCTGCTCCAGGGAAGGTGAAGTGGACGGTGACGTGGACCTCCGAGAGCCCCACAGATCCGCCTCCTATGTGGACGGTTCTGGGCACGCCTCTCTCTGAGCAGAGCGACACGTTGCCTCTCCAAAGTGATAGGCGCACACTGAGTGAATGCAGTTTGGGCACCTCTTTGAACTGCTGCAAAACAGAAGAACATCCTTTTGCTTCTCTTGAAGCTGCAGAAAGAATGCTCTTTTGGCACCACTTTTAACTGCCATGGCTCAAGTCTAAGGGATCCTGGAAGTGATAATTTTGCACCGTCTTTTAGCCTTCTCTGCCCAAAAGTTCTGGTACCTTACAAAACTACAAGTCCCAGTATCCGACAGCACTGAGTCAAGACAGATAGAATCATAAATTTATTGAGTTGGAAGAGACCTCGTGTGCCATACAGTCCAGCCTCCTGCCAAGAAGCAGGAAAATAGCATTCAAAGCATCCCCAACAGTTTTTTTTCTTGAGAAACTGCAGGTTGTTTCTGGTGTGAGAGAATTGGCCATCTGCAAGATAAAACTTTGTCAGTTTTGTGTTTTCGAGTACTTTCATGGCCAGAATCACTAGGTTGCTGTGAATTTTCCAGGCTATACGACCATGTTCCAGAAGCACTCTCTCCTGATGTTTAGTCCATATCTATGGAAGGCATCCTCAGAAGTTGTGAGGTATGTTGGAAACTAGACAAGTGAGGTTGATATATCTGTGGAATAATGTCCAGGATTGGAGAAAGAAATCCCGTCTGTTTGAAGCAAGTGTGAATGCTGCAACTTGATCACCTTGATTAGTGTCGAATAACCTTGCAGCTTCAGGGCTTGGCTGCTTCCTGCCTGGGGGAATCCTTTGTTGGGAGGTCATTAGCTGGCCCTGGTTGTTTCTTGTCTGGAATTCCCCTGTTTCTGAGTGTTGTTCTTTCTTTACTGTCCTGATTCCATTCATTCTACAGTGTAGCTACAACAGAGAAAAATGGAAGTCTTCCTTCCAATCGGAAGAGTGTATGGTTGCAATTAATGCATTTTTGGCACCACTTTTTACTGCCATGGCTCAGGGTTTTGGGATTCTCAAAAATTCCTTAAGGTCTTTCTCTTCCAAAGAGTGCTGGTTGCCTCACCAAACTACAAATCCTGGGATTCCATAGCACTAAGCTATGACAATTCAATGGCATCAAATTGCATTCATTGTTTATTGCACCCAAAGAAATATAGAAAAAGTGGAAAGAAAAGGTAGAAGGCTTCCTGAGATCAAAATAGGATAAGAAGGTATCTAGAATATAGTTTTGGCACCACTTTTAATTGCTGTGTCTCAAGGCTGTGGGATCCTGGGGTCGTTAGCCTTCTCTGCCAAAGAGTGCTAGTGCTCCACCAAAATACATCTCCTGAGTAACAGATGCCTCTGAATATTTTTAGCACAGTCTTTCCTGGGCTTTGCCCCTCCAGATGTTTTGGACTTCAACTCCCAGTCTGAAACAACTAGAGGAGCAAAGTTTCAGAATTACTGGTTAGCCATTTTGCAGGGAAGTAGAGTAAAAGCTTGTTCTTAAATAAATGGACATGTTTGTGTGTGTGTGTGTGTGTGTGTGTGTGTGTGTGTGTGAGAGAGAGAGAGAGAGAGAGAGAGGAGCGACTTGGAAAACTGCAAGTCACTTCTGGTGTGAGAGAACTGGCCGTCTGCAAAGACTTTGCCCAAGGGACGCCCGGATGTTTTACCATCTGATGGGAGGCTTCTCTCCTGTCCCTCATGAGAAGCTAGAGCTGACAGATGAGAGCTCATCACATTCCCCGGGTCGAACCGCTGACCTTTCAGTCAGCAGTCCTGCCAGCACCCATTGCACCATCGGAGGCTCCTAATGGGAATGCTACAACATTTTATTATTCTGACCCATAACATCAGGATAAGAGGCTAACATCAGGCCATTGAATCGTGGGAGTTGTAGTTTATAAGATCTTATGCCTTGTTTACCAGAGTGCTGACACCTCATCAAACTACAAATCCCTCATTTTCATTGCAGTGATCCCTGGCCATTGAAGTACTAAACTGCATGAATTCTATTCTATAGATGTGCCCCAAGAAGGTTTCCCTCCTTGCCTCTGTTTGTTTTTCCAATGGAAGCCACAGTGGAGGACTTGAAGATTCAGCTTTCAACCCATATCCTCAGGGCTGGATTAAGACCTTTCAAGGCTCTCAGCTCTTAAAATATTTTGGTGTCCCTATACAAATCTAATTCAAAATAGAAACAATAGCAAATAATAAGATAAAATGTTGTTGTTTTTTCCATTTTACTTACAGTAAGATAGAAAATATTGTTTATCTTTGTACACTTCCGCTTGATTTATATTTGAAAAAAATTCTCCTGCTTTTTCTTTTATTGGGGGAGCCTCTTTCCATGGAATTGCACCATTTGCGGTTTTGCACCATATGGTCCATGGTAAATCCAGCAACGGAAGCCTTCTGTGGTGCCTCCCTTCCCTTGATGCTCTAAGCACCGGCTTATTTTGCATAATGGTTAATCCAGCCCTGAGTGTCCTCCACAGCAAGTCGCAGTGATAAAGGGTTTGATGTTTGTGGATTTCAATGGCTTCCTTATGTAGTCTGACATGGTAGTTGTTAAGAGTGGACCAGCATTTCTGTGCTACGTTCAGCAAAGGACAAGAGGGATCCTCCCACTTCTGCATGAATCTACCATATACCATGCAACTGTGGACAAGTCTAAGCTATGAATTGTCATAGCTTAGTGCTATGGGACTACCAAACGCAGCGCCCAAACACGAATCAAGGAACATGAAAGGCACTGCAGACTAATTCAACCAGAGAAGTCAGACATAGCAGAGCACTTGATGTACCAACCTGGACACAGCATATTATTTGAGAACACAGAAATGCTGGAACACTCTAATAACTACCATGTCAGACTGCACAGAGAAGCCATTGAAATCTACAAGCACATGGACAATTTGAACAGAAAGGAGGAAACCATGAAAATGAACAAAATCTGGCTGCCAGTATTAAAAAACTCTAAAATCAGGACTGTAAGTAAAAAGCAACACGCAAAATACAGGGGAATTCCAGACATGAAACAATCAGGGCCGGCAAACACCTCCCAACAAAGGATTCCCCCAGGAAGCAGCCACGCTTTGAAGCTCCAATGCCATTCAATGCTAATCAAGCTTGTTAATTGCAACATTCACATTTGCTTCAAACAGACAAAAGTTCTTTCTCCCACCCTGGACATTCTACAGATATATAAACCTCACTTGCTTAGTTTCCAACATACCTTACTCCTCTGAGGATGCCTGCCATAGATGTAGGCGAAATGTCAGGAGAGAATGCTGCTGGAACATGACCATACAGCCTGGAAAACTCACAGCAATCCAGTTTGAGCAATGATCTTTAGAGCCTGGTGAACCCCATTCCTTAAATAACAGGATCCTCTGGTGATGCTTTGAGGAGTAAAGCAGTTTTCAAAAGAATTCGAGAGTGACAAAATACACTTCTATTCGGTTTCTGAGCTGGCAGCATGCGGGTTTCATTTTCAGGCTATTAATGTATTTGGCAGCTTCTCTTGTGTTGTGTCCTTCTATTGTGTGTGTGTGTGTCTGTATAGATATCTCCAAAGGTTACAGAAGTGGCAGTCCCATATGGGCCTGAAAATGTTTTAGTATTGTTGTTGTGTTAAATCACAGATGCTCAAAAACAGAAATGTGTAGCCAAGCAAAATAGTAAACAAATATCTGGCTGTTCATTTGCAATCTTGAGCTAATATGTGCATTGTTGAAATAGTAATGATTAATGATGCAAAGGCATCTTGTTGTACCTTTGGGACTGAAAGAAGTTTATAGCATATGTTTTTGTAAAATACACCTAATGAAGTAGACCGAGTCTATCTCTCAGTCTCAAAAATGCTACAAGATGTCTTTGGATGTTTATACAAACAAACATGGCTGCATCTTTTTGATGAATTATGGAAATAGCCTGCCTTTTTCAGCCCGTCGTACATCTTTCAGAGCCTTGTACAATACTGTTCTTTTACGTGCAAGAGGGATGAGCAAAATGCAGCTCTCCAGATGGTGCTGGACTTTCTCTTCCATCATTCCTCATCATTCCTTATTGTACTGATTAGGTTTAATAGGAGCTGGAGTTCGGCAACAGCTGGAAGGCCACGTTTACCCCACTGCAGACTTTTAGCAAAAAAAAGCTATGTTTATTTTAATGACTTTTGTTAAAAATTAAGCTTGCCTTCATAGTCTTTATAGCACACATTTACTTGAGATTTCTTTTTGTTTCAGGTTACAGCAAAAGCAGCCGTTGTTTTTGTTACACTTCAGTATAATGTCACCATTCCTGCCACAGGTAAAGCTCTATCGGATATTTATGCACCTTGGTTGAGAAAACGATTATCCTCAGAATAAAAAAAAAAACCCTTAGAGACTGCAAAATTTGCCTTTGCCCTCCAGCCCTTCATGGAACAGGATTTCATTCTTTCCTTCCTGACTTTCAGTTAACCACTTAGTTGTTTTACACCATTTACTCAGCAACATTTGTCTGGTCAAGGATAAGAAATCATGATTTGTTATAGATTGATTTGTTTGTTCATTCAAAAAACTATTAATTATTAGCCGTCCCCTGCCACGCATTGCTGTGGCCCACTCTGGTGGTCATGGGGGTTCTGTGTGGGAGGGTTGGCCCAATTCTATTGTTGGTGGGGTTCAGAATGCTCTCTGATTGTAGGTGAACTACAAATCCCAGCAACTACAACTCCCAAATGTCAAGATTCTATTTTCCCCAAACTCCACCAGTGTTTACATTTGGGCATACTGAGTATTCATGTAGAGTTTGGTCCAGATCCATCATTGTTTGAGTCCACAGTGCTCTCTGGATGTAGGTGAACTACAACTGCAAAACCAAAGGACACTGCCCACCAAATCCTTCCAGTATTTTCTGTTGGTCATGGGAGAACTGTGTGCCAAGTTTGGTTCAATTCCTTCGTTGGTGGGGTTCAGAATGCTCTTTGATTGTAGGTGATCTATAAATCCCAGCAACTACAACTCCCAAATGACAAAGTCAAATTTTTTGAGTGAAGGACATACATTGGGTTCTTAGGTGTCTTGTGTCCAAATTTGGTGTCAATTTGTCGAGTGGTTTTTAAGTTCTGTTAATCCCACATACAAACATTACATTTTTATTTATATAGACTACACATAAAAAGATGAAGGCACAGTGTGCTAAAGCAGGAGAGAAAGTATGCAATTCCAAGCTTTTTTAAAACGCTTGTTTATGTAGCATCTAACTATGGTTGGGACTAACAACTGACACCATGTTGTCCATTCACTTTTGTGAACATGAATTGCTTCTGTGTTTAGGAAAAAAAAGTTTGTTTTTTATCCTGTTTATCTTTCTAACATAATTAGATATGGAACCTGAAAATGCAGGTCTACATTGAATTGCTAGTTACCTAAGTTTCATGGGAACGTTATTTTGGACAAGCAATTAGATTTAAGCCAAATCACTCTGAATGCAATTTTCCTTCCAGGCGGTTGGACTGGGTGGCCCATGAGGTCTCTTCCAACTGTATGATTCTATTATTTTATGAAATATCTTCTAATATTTTTAGATGCTGCACATGTTATTAATTAAAACTTATATTCCTCATATTGTATACCAGCTAGAGCTGGGCTATGGAATGTGTGACACACACAGCCAGGTATTGTTGAAAAACAAATTACACAATGTAACAAGATTTGGGGGCGGGGGGGGGAATCTGTTCCTGGTTTGAAAGTGTTACTCCTGTTTAATTGTGCAGTACTTACTTTGAAAGTAATTGCTATACTCCAGAAACTTCATTTTTGTGGCTGCCACAAACTAGGTCGAATTGGTTGAGTTTCCGATATATTTATTGAAAAACTATAGCAAAATGTGCTGCAAGATGTCCTGTGAAAGCCAAATATAATAAACTTTTTCCATGTGTCTATGATAGAACCAATTAGGAAATGATATGTATAACCCAAGAACAAAAATAGTGTTACAGTAGAGTCTCGCTTATCCCACATAAACGAGCCGGCAGAACGTTGGATAAGCGAAAATGTTGGATAGTAACGAAGGATTAAGGAAAAACTTATTAAACGTCAAATTGCGTTATGATTTTACAAATTAAGCACCAAAACGTCCTGTTTTACAACAAATTGACAGAAAAAGCAGTTCAATACATGGTAATGTTAGGTAGTAATTACCGTATTAATGAATTTAGCACCAAAACATCACAATGTATTGTAACAGCTGTGGATCCTGGCAGGAGAATAAAACAGTACGTTGGAGGAACAAAGGTTGGATAAGCGAGACTCTACTGTACATAATGTTATAAGCATACGCCAAGAGAAACACATGCTAGTAATTGCAGCCTACTATCCTCTGGTGGGCCATGTATTCCATATCACTTGAGCTCACTGTATAGAAGTACGTAATACATGTATTTTTGCAGTGGTCACCAAAGCTGAAGGACTCCTGTTTTCTTGCTGTTCTTTCTTGTATTTGGGTTGAAAGCGGTTAAGCTGACATTTTTTTAATGTTGCTATCTCTTCTCTATCAGAATCAGAGTCCACAGAAACAATCACGTTGTATCACTATGGTATCAAAGACCTGGCTACTGTTTTCTTCTATATGCTGGTGGCAATAATCATCCACGCAATCATTCAAGAATATGTTCTAGATGTAAGTATTGTTTGCAAGGACAATAGTGGATATTCATGCAATTTACCCTCTATAGTCAACAATATGTTGATAATAATGCAGAATAATAATACACTTCATTTATATTCTGCTCTATCTCCCTGAGGGGACTTATGGATTGCAGTATACACATATAGAGACAAACATTCAATATACAGTAACAACATGAATACAATACAAACAAAGGGAAAGGTTTCCCTTTCTATCTTCGGCATATGAAGGCAATGCCCAACTCTGGCCATAAGCTCTTGTTCCATTTGGGAAAGCTTGATTCCACAACTCCCGCTAAAATGAGCTCTCCTCCGTAAATTACCTGCTTCTTTCTTTTATCTCGCCAAGTTTTTAATTAGTTTTAATTACTTTGTCTTTTAATCACTACATGTAGCCCACCCATTGTTACTGTGCCTGTTCATATTGTAATTTGTATATTGTTATGTATTCATTTGTTTTATGTTACCGTTTATTGTTTGCAATTTCAGTTTGTGTTTTTGGTTTTTCTTTATTGTAATTGTTGTTTGGGCTTGGCCTCATGTAAGCCGCTCCGAGTCCCCATCTGGGAGATGGTGGCGGGGTATAAATATAGATTATTATTATTATTATTATTATTAGTATTATTATCCATGCAGAGGAAATTGTTGTCCATAGACTCTCCTGGTCATTTTTTACTGGCATGGCTGCATGGATGCCTTTTACCTTCCCGCCAAGGCGCTACCTATTGATCTACTCACATTGCATGTTTTTTAACTGCTAGGTTGGCAGAAGCTAGGACTAACAGCGGGAGCTCACCCCGACATGCGGCTTTGAACTGTTAACTTTCCAGTCAGCAAGTATTCTGCAGCTAGCAGTTTAACCCACTGTGATCTAAAAATCTGGGTCAACTTCTCCTTGGGCCAATGCTAGAGACACGGAGAATTATGCCGATTCAATGAGTTCTGTGCTTCCTGCCAGTTACTGAAAAGTTCTCCGCCATGATTTGGGCAAGTGAGGGGTAATAAGGTGGTTGCATCTCACCTTTACTTCTTGCCAGCATCTTTGCATTGAATCCCTAATAGAGGAAGATTGTTTTTGTTGTGCTTTACTCTCCCCCACCCCCATGTTTTCAGACCACATGATTGATGGTGATGATGATGTCGATGTGGGAACGTCTCCCCTCTGCCTTTTATCACTGCCTTTGTAATGAGTTGCTAATGATGCTTCGCTCTCTCCTCCACCTTCATTTGTTCTTCTTTCTTATATATATTCCCTTCCCTATGTATATTTGTCGATATGTAGGTTTTTTGAGAACTGCAGTGCAGTTTACATACACATTTCCATTGCAACCTCTCAAACAAACAGATCTTCTCCTTCTCTTTAGATCTTCCTAAGTATGCTCCCTCTAAAAGCTTTTTTAAAACAAAAGGAAAAGATTTATTTTTTACATGCCTCTAGGTTTTGCGCTCCACAGACCATCTCAAATTCTGTAATTTTGGGCCCAAATCTTGCACTCGCCTTATTCACGAGAGTGCTTTATAAGTATATTTATTATGTGTTTTATATTATGTTTGGCATCGAATTGTTGCCTGTTTAGAACCCGTTCTGAGTCCCTCCGCAGAGGTCGAGAAGGACGGGGTATAAATGTTTAAAATAAATAAATAATATATATGGTAATTGATTGCTGCACGCACCATAGACTCAGTTTTAGATTTCGCTTTGACATGACAAATGACTCCTTATCAAAATCACTGTGCAGATCAATAATACAAATTACTTTTTCTGTTAGAAAATAAACAGGAAAATGCACTTCTCCAAGACGAAGCATAGCAAGTTCAATGAATCTGGACAACTCAGTGCATTCTACCTTTTCTCCTGCGTCTGGGGCACCAGCATTCTTGTGTCTGTGAGTATCTCACCTTATGTGTTTATGGTGAAAAGAGTGATTTGAAAGTATCTGAACTCCTTGATTGGGATTTATGTTTGACTGTTTAATCTTGGCTCAAAGCTGAACAACTAACTACTTTTCAGCTCTTTTCAACAGCAAGTGCTTTCTAAACTTGTGCATTTGGTGGGTTAAATCTAAACTAAGAAAGATTACTGAAATCTGACTTGATTCATTGATTTCAGTGGAAGCTTTGCAAATGGGTACTGTTTCAATCACATATGTGTTTACATGGATCAAATGAAATCCAGTGCATGTTTGCTCATGTAAACAAATATGTGGCTTCTATTTGTTTTCTTGCAGGAATAGATTAAATGGCATACCATAGTTATGACATTATTGAGTTTTTTAAAGTTGGATCAGAGAACACTTATTCAACTCTGAATCATTACAGATGTTGATCTTTCCTTTTCCTTTTTACAACTTTTTCTATCTGCATATGCAAGGTCACCCAAGTGTATAGATACATTAGTAAATATTCTATATTATCTACTAGTTAATCCAACCACGCTTCACTGTGGCTCAGTCTGATATGAAATGAATGGGATAGTAAATAAAAGTATTGCTATGGACATAGATTCACTGAGAAAACACATCATTCAATTCAATACCATGCCTTGCGTTGCTGTGTCTATGTGGAATTAAAGGAAAGAAAAGGAAAGAAAAAGAGGATTTTATCAATAATCCTTTTTGTTTGTTTATTTAGCTAGTGGATTGACTACAATTTTGGTTTGTCCGTGTTCTGCATAAACATAAAGATCTGACAGGACTTCCGGGTGCATGGTCATGGCGGAGAGTCGCACACACTAGAGCTCTGCAAAAGTGTGTGAGCGATGGGGCTGATCGGGTAGAGCTTGGCTCCCTTCCCCGCTGTGGATCGAGGCAGTGGGGAACAGCGAAACCGGGTGGGTCAGCCGACGGTCCGAAAGGGGGTCTTCTCCTCAAGAGGAGATCCCTGAAAGGACCCGGTATTGATCCCGAGGTACGGCGGATCGCCCCAAACGCAGCAGACAGAAGCCTGCATATCTCCTGCCGCATGCTCTTTTAAATAAGAAGAAAAGGAGAGGAGGAGGTAAGAACAACTATAAGGAAGGAGGGGGTGTCGGAAGAGGGCTTGAAATCTTTCCCTCAAAGAAAGAAAGAGGTTTTATGTGAAGAATAGAAAAAGAAGAAGGAAAAGAGGATCCAGAAGGATCCAGAAGTAAACAGTGAAATAAGTTCTATACAGATAGGAGAAACAGAAGTTCGGTGAGACCTAAAGAACTAGTGAGGGAAAAAAGCTATAAGATCGAAGAACTGGATGAATTGGAAGAATTAGAAAAGAAATAGAGGGAAAGAGAGGAAAAAATAACAAGAAAGAAAGGTACAAGAAGAGAAAGGAAGAGTGCAGAGGAAAGAAAGGAAAGACCGGAAAATAATACTGGAAAATAATATTGCTACATAACACATAATATTGCTATATTGCTATATAACACATAGAACACATATAGCAAGAGAAAGGAATTGGAAGGAATTGAAGAAAGCCGGGGAAACAAAACTAAAATAATCCAACATTAACTATAAGGATCCAATGAGCTGATGCAATAATACTGCAATCTGACACCAGATAAAGCAGGGAAAAAGGAAAAAAAATAAAACTGACCTTGAAGGAGGCTTGTGTTGGCTGCAAGATAAGAAGTGCGGGGGGGCTCAAAGGAGGAGGAGGCAGGACTACGAAGCCGAGAAAGGAAGGAGCATCGCGAGGCAGAGCGGAGAAGTAGGAGGGGGAAGCGAGACCAGAGCCAGAGGAAGAGAGGATCCCGCGAGAGGAAGAGGGGACTTGGCGAGAAGAACGTAATCTCGCGATAGGACAAAAGAGAAGCGAGAGAAGAACCAGGAACCAGGAAGAAGACGCAAGATCGTGGAAAGAAAAAAAAATACAACGCGAGAGAAGAGGAGAGCAGATAGCGCGAGAACGGGACGAGACCTGCAAGGTGTCAAACAAGGAAGTAAATAAGAGACAAAGAAGAAAGCATATAAAAGAGAAAAAAGAGGAAAGGGACGCAGAGGAGACGAGGAGAGAAGCGCGAAACGAACCGGAGGAGGAGGCAAATAAAAGGAAAAAGGCATAAGAAAGAAAAGGAACCTAGGAAGTCCCCAGACAACCAAAGACGGTAAGACAGCGGGAAAATAATTAAATAAATAAACAAATAACTCGAGCAAGTGGGAGGAGAGAAAAGGAGAAGAAAAGGAGCTTGGAAGGACGATACATAAGAAGGGTTAAATACGGAAGAAAAGAAGAGTGAGAGGAGGAGTGACAGAGGAAAATAGGGATACAAACAATAAGATTAAAATAATAAAAATAATAATAAATAAATAATAAAAAATATATTAAAATAAATAAACTAAAAATATATTAAAATAAGGGGAAAAAGGGGAAAAAAGAAATAAATTGAAAATAATAACAAAAATAAATAAACAAATAAATAAATAAATTTTAAAAAAGAAAAAATACATAAATCGACAGATCTCCCGAAATAGAAAAAATAAAACAATTAATACATTTATATTAAAGGAGAAGAACCAAAAAAAAAAAAAGAGGAATTCCAAGAGAAGATCGGGAAGAGTGGAAGTGGAAGATATTTATAAGGACAAACACAGTACATAAAATACAACAAAATGTACAACACAAGGAATAAGACAGAGAAGACAGACAAGACGGACAAGACAGATAAGACGGACAAGTCGGAAAAGACAGAAAAGGAACAAAAGGAAACAAAAATATCAGCTAGAAGAGCCTCACTACTTGAGGAACATAATCTGAAGGAACTCCTGGAAAAAAATGACAGAAAAAGTAATGAAAGAAATCCAAACAGTTCAAGAGAAACAAGATCTGGCACAAAAGGCATCCAAAGAACAAATGGCGGATTTAAAGAAAGAGATAAAAGAAGAAATAGGAGGTGTAAAGAAAGAGTTAACTCTAATGCAACAAGAACTGAAGGAACTAAAAATGGAGAAAAAAGAGATAAAAAAAACACAAGAAGGTTTACAAGAGAAAATGAAGAATTTAGAACAAAAAAACGCAAGACTTGAAGAGAGATGTGAAAGAATGGAAACAAAAGAACTGGAGTTTCAGTTAAGACTAAGAAATATAGAAGAGGACCCAAAGGAGAATATAAGAGACAAAGTGATAGAAATCTTAGCGGAACTAATAGAGTATACAGACCAAGAAATGCAAGACCAAACAGATAGAGTCTATAGGGTGAATACAAGCTTTGCAATGAGAAACAGAGTGGCGAGAGACGTGGTGGTGCATTTTGCGAAAAAAACGACAAGAGATGAAGTCCTAAAAATTAATAACAGAAGAACAGTCTATTACAAAGGGAAGAAAATCATTATATTAAAGGAATTCCCAAATGCGGTGATATCAAGAAGGAGGAAATATAATTTCTTGACAGAAGAATTAAAAAAACACAGGATAAGATATAGGTGGGAGCGAGAAGAAGGTCTAATGGTCACATACAGAGACCAAAGATATTGGATTAAGAACATAGAAAGAGCAAAGGAATTCCTGGAGAAGATAAGAAGAGAGGAGGCTCAGAGAGAAAGAGAGCTGAGGAAGGAAAAAATGAAGAAAAGAGACAAAGAAGAGAGAGAAGGGAATGGAGAAAATGAGAAGGAAGACTATAAAGAGGACAGAGAAAAAAAGGAAGACAACAACAATCAGAGCAAATCGGAAGGAAAAGACTACAGAGAAGAAGGACAAATAAAAGGAGGTGCACAAGGAGGTGAGACAGAAAAAGAAAAGGAAGAAGGCAAGGACGGGAAGGAATTAGAAGAGGAGGAGGAAGGAGAAGAAGGAGAGGAAGACACAACAGAACAAAAAAGACAAGAACAAGAAAGACAAGGATGAATGAGTTAAGAATATACTCAAACAATATTAACGGGATTAATGCGCCGGGAAAAAGAAATAAAATCTTTAATAGACTGAGAAAGAAAAAGTTTCATGTCGTGGCTTTACAAGAAACACACATAAAAAAAGACCACATAAAACATTTAGAAAATAAAGGATTAGGACAAGCATTTATAGCTGCTGCCCAAGAAAAGAGAAGGGGGGTGGTTACATATATAGACACAAATATCCCAGCGGAACTTGCTTTTACGGATGAAGAGGGCAGAATGATAGGAATCATTATCAAAATCAGAAATCAAAAAATATTAATCTGTAATATCTATGCTCCCAATGATTCGAAAACAAAATTCACAGAAAAACTTAAGAGAAATATAGAGGACCAACCCTATGACCAATTAGTATTATTAGGGGACTTTAATGGGGTAATCGACAGAGACTTAGACAGAAGCAAACAAAATTATGTTACAAAAAAAAGCAAAGACCAAGGTAACCTTCCAAAGACAATGATAAAGTTATTAGAAAAATTAAATTTAAAGGATGTATGGAGAATTAAGAATGGGGACAAAAAGGACTATACATTCTATTCGGCCAGATTCCAAAATTGGTCAAGAATTGATTTGGTATGGGTGTCATCGCAAATTTTAGGGAAAGTGACGAATATACAAATCAAACCCAGATTAGACTCGGATCATTGTCCCATAGAATTAAAAATAAAACGGACAGAAAAAATAAGGAGATGGAGACTCGATGAGAATCTAATAAAAAAAGAAAAATATATAGAGAAAAACAGAAAGATCTTAAAAGGGTATTTTGAATTAAATGACAATGGGGAAACAAATATAATAATGTTATGGGAAGCAAGTAAGGCAGTGATTAGGGGGAACTTTATACAACAAAAAGCAATAAAAAATAAGCAAAAATATCAGAAAATTAAGGAAATTATGGGGGAAATAAAAAAGGAAGAAGAAAACCTAAAAAGGAACCCAAAGAAAAAAGAAATAACAAGAAAATTAGACTATCTACACAAACAACTAGAACATCTAGAGTTAGAAGAGAGAGAAAAACAGATAAAATATATAAGGCAAGATTACTTTTTAAATGCAAACAAGTCAGGTAAGTGGCTAGCAAATAAACTAAGGAAAAAGAAAGAAAAAACATACATAGAAAAGCTGAAAAACGAAGATAGGATATATACACAGGAAGAGGAAATAAGAAAACAATTCTTTGACTTCTATAGAAAAATATATCAAGATGAAAATATTGAACAAGAAAAAATCCTCCAATATTTAGGAAAGCAGAAAATACCAAAAATATCTGATGAACAAAGGGAAATCTTGAATAAAGAAATCTCAGAACAAGAAATAGAAACAGCAATAAGAAATTTAAAACCTAACAAAGCTCCAGGCCCTGACGGCTTATCCTCAGGTTATTATAAAACATTCCAACAAGAATTAGTGCCCTATCTAAAGGAGATAATGAACAATATAAGAGTAAATAAAGAAATTCCAAATTCATGGAAACAAGCAAACATATCGATAATACACAAGGAAAATTCTAACCCAGAAGAAGTAAGAAATTACAGACCCATATCTCTACTGAATGTAGATTACAAAATTTTTAGTAATATACTAGCAGAAAGACTAAAAAAAAGTACTTGCATCATATATAGTGAAGATCAGGCAGGATTCCTACCCAATAGATATCAAAAAGAGAATGTCAGGACTATAATTGATTTAATTGAATATTTTGAAATTAATCATCAAAAAAAAGTAATGTTCATGGCAGTAGACGCTGAGAAAGCGTTTGATAACGTAAACTGGAATTTTTTCAAACATTTAATTAGAGAAATAGACATGGGCTTTTATTTCCAAAATGCGGTGGAAGCGATATATGAAAATCAGGAGGCTAAAGTGATAGTAAATGGTCAGGAAACAGAAACAATAAAAATAGAGAAGGGAACAAGACAGGGGTGTCCCCTGTCCCCCTTAATATTTGTATTAACATTAGAGGTACTATTGAGAAAAATAAGAGAGGAAAAAAATCTGGTTGGAGCGAAAATCCAAGGACAAGAGTATAAGTATAAAGCCTTCGCAGATGATATAATTTGTATAATAGAAAACCCAAAAAATAAATTGGATCAATGGTTAAATGAAATAAAAAGATTTGGTGAAGTAGCAGGTTTTAAAATTAATTTGGAAAAAACAAAAGCAATAACAAAAAATATAGATAAGAAAGAACAAGAGGAAATAGGGAAAAAATGGAATGTACAAATAGTAACAAAATTAAAATATCTGGGAATTAACCTCACAGCGAAGAACCTACATTTGTTACAAAACAACTATCTCAATAAATGGAAGGAAATCAAAAAAGAGATGGAGAAATGGAAAAATAAAAATTTATCTTTACTAGGAAGGGTGGCAACAATCAAAATGAAGATACTGCCGAAAATGATATTTATTTTTCAAAGTTTACCAATAATAAGAAATATGAAATTATTTAAAGAATGGAATAGGGACATAACGAAATTCATCTGGAACAATAAAAAGCCAAGAATTCATTATAATAATTTAATTGAACAAAAAGACAAAGGAGGACTAGCAGTTCCAGACCTCAAACTCTATTATGAGGCAAGTGCTTTAGTGTGGGCAAGAGATTGGGCATTGTTAAAAAAGAAGAAGTTACTGACTTTGGAAGGAATAGACCTTAGGGGAGGGTGGCATCTTTACACATGGTATAAAGGGAAGGAAAAGGAAAAAAATTTGGAAATCACTTTGTGAGATCCGCAATTTTAAAAATATGGGAAAAATATAAAAAGAAATTCTATACAAAAACGCCGTTATGGGTATCACCGCTTGAGGCAAGCCAAAGGAGATGCATGGGGTGGAATGATTGGCCAAAATACAAAGAAATCTTAAAAATTCATCAGGGAGAACTAATACTAAAAGAACAGCAGGAACTAATTACTATTGATAAAAAAATATCATGGCTACAATATTGGCAAATCAAAGAGAAATATTAAACAGATAAAGAATTGGGCTTCTCAAAAGGGAAAGATTTTTGGGATAAAATCTTGGAAACAGAAAAGAAATTAATAACAAAAATATACAAAAAACTATTAGAATGGCAATTAGAAACTAAAGAAGACAAAAACTATATGAGAAGATGGAATGAAAACCTAAGAAGAAATATTAAACAAACGGAATGGACGAAAATTTGGAAAAAAAGACTAAAATATACATATGCCACGGAGCTTAGAGAAAACTGGATTAAAATGGCACTAAGGTGGTACTTAACGCCAAAAAAATTAGGGAAAATATAAAACAATACGAACTCGATGTGCTGGAAGTGCAAGAAGAAGGAGGGTTCCTTCTTCCACTTATGGTGGACATGTGAAAAAGCGAAAGATTACTGGAGGAAGATACAAAAAGAAATTCAAAATATGTTAAAAATAAAGATACCAATGAAACCGGAGCTGTTCTTATTAGGAATGTATGATAACAGTATAGAAAAAGAGAAAGACAAAATACTATTTCTAGCACTCACAGCTGCAATACTATTTCTAGCACTCACAGCTATGCAAAAAAATGGAGACAAACTGAGATACCAGAAGAAGAATGGGTAATAAAGCTATTGGACATCAGCAATTTGGACAGACTGACTTTTTTATTATTGAAAAACAAAGAAACAGGAAGAAAAGAAACAGACTGGAAGGAGGTCATCGAATACCTAAGAAAAAGAAAAAAGAGACTTGGATTTAAAAAGTAGAAAAGAACTGGAAATAATAGGCGAACATAGAAGAAAAGAGGGGAGAGAATGAAGAGACTGGAAGGAAAATAAAGAACTTTACTTCATTATTTTTTCTTCTATACATGCATTTTTTTTTCTCCTTTCTTCTTAGAAGAAGAAAGGACAGAAGACCCTCAGAAGACACCAGGAAGTCGATGCAGTCTTTTTTTTTCTTTTTTTTTTTAATTTTTTTCTTTTTTTTTCTTTTTTTTCTTTTTTTTTCTTTTTATTTTTCTTTCTTTCTTCTTTTTACATTTTTTTTCTTCTTTTCCTCTTTTCTTTATTTTACCTATATACACTTTTTAAGAAAATTCTCAATAAAGATGATTTTAAAAAAAAACATAAAGATCTGACAGTTTAACGACTCTGGAGCATGCAACATATAAGTGCCCATGAGAGAATCAATTGTTTTCTAAATTCAAACCACACACTTGCAAAGATTTCTCCTGCACACGCTTTGCTGTGGCTCATTCTGATATGAAATAGTTTTCTAAATTCTAACCTCACACTTGCAAATATTTCCCCTGTGCTTTATTGGTAGTCAAGCAAATGCAAAGCGTATTGGAAATTGAAGTCGTTAGTACTCGAACACCATGTTGGTCGGAATGAGTGTTATGCCATTAGCAATCAAACACAGCTTAGCTTTCATTTCTTATACTTCTGTGGTGAAATGATAGCTGCTCTGAGATTGGGTGGTATTTTTTATACTGCTGAGTTAAAAGAAAGCTGTGCTGTGATTGGTTATTATTTATTATACTGCTGAGGTCAAATGGAAGCTGCTCAGTGAGAGGTTATTTCTTTTACTGCTGAGGTAAAAGGAAAGCTGTGCAGCGATTGGTTGCTAGAGCTCAGTTTTCATTTCTTGTACATAGCTAGGCTGTGATTGGTCTCTTTGGGCATCACAGATTCCACTGTTTGTATTCGCTGATTGCCAGTTTTACGCTAAATATACGCATGTGTTTTCAAATGCAATTTTGTGTCATAATTTCATTTTACTATAAAAACATGTGCATATTAGATTGCAACCTTGTGTCGAAATGTCAAGTAAATCAACTACTTTACAAGTTTTGCAAGCACAAACATATACAGGCTGAGATTTTATATATAAAGATTTCACCATGCGAAAGTGGGAAAAGAGAGTAATCAAAGATTCAGTGTTATGCTGTAGTATCTTCCAAAGTGAACTGTGGGTAGGCATATGGCACGACTCATTTGGTTTTGTTTCTGGGAAAGAAGGGGAAATAAATGCCCATGCAATAGCTGGCTTTCCATGTTGGTGGTTGTTATGAATGGGCAAAGCATGTAAACTTTATTTTGGTGGATTATAATTCTAAAAATCCTCTAAAACCAGAATGGCCAGTGGCTATACGAAATGAAAGACCCAGGAAGCTATAACCCTAAACACCAATACTTCTGAGCTCTCTAAAATGGGTGATAGTTTGTCTACTTTGCATAGCTATCTATGCTGTGAGGCTGAAGAATCCCTATCCTCAAATGCCAAGAAAATTCAGTCTCTCATCTCAGTGATCAGAAGAGATCTAACTCCTGTGCAGTCGGAGAGAGTCTTCATGCTGCAATGTATCCCCTTCTGGGCAAGACATGTGCTATAAGAGAGGACATTTTTCATTGAGTGAGGAAGCAAGGGCTTGGCAGACAATATGACTGAAGCTCTGAAGGGCTTGAATTATTACCTCCTTAAAGGATTGCGAGGATCACATGCAACTGGTCTGATCTGCATTCCGATATAATGAATGCAAATATCCTTTGCCCTTCTTTGCCTTCTGGGAACACTTTGTTAAACATTTTTTGAGGACAAGTTGTAGAGGTTGCAACATATCCAGAGTCAGCTGGAACTTGGGGAAAAACATTTTGGATTTACAAATTCTAGAGTTCCGCATTACCAGTAGCCTTTCTAGCAAAGAGATTGTGGCAAACTGTTGTTCAGAAAAGGAACTCTGTCATGCTCTAATTGTCCGGATTTTAAAATGTGAACCTCCTTATTTTCAGGAGAACTACATTTCGGATCCAACATCGCTCTGGAGGGACTACCCGCATACTGCAATGCCGTAAGTTTACTTTGTTAAATTCATAAAGTAGTGTATGTGCATTCACTATTCATTTTGCTTTAAATCAGTTAATATCTTGTTTGCAACTATAGTGATACCTTGACTTAAGAGTTTAATTGGTTCCATGATAGAGCTCTTAACTTGAAATGCTCTTATCTCAAAGCAAATTTTCTGTTGCGGTGCTATTAATCCATTCCAGCCCCCCAAAGTCCCCCCGTTTAAAAAAGAAAGATCAACTTTAAAATGGTAAAAGCACAAAGTTGTGGCAAGGAAGCAAAAAGTGAAAAGCAGAAGCATCATTTTTTTCATACTCATTCCAGCCTCCTTTCCTCTCTTGTTCTCTCTCTCTTCATGAAGCCAAACATTTTTTAAAAAAATAATAATTAGCCCAAAGTTCCTCAAAGCACAAAAGAGCAAAGCAAGTGGCAATCTCCCAAAGCAGACAAGAACATAAGCCATGAGGCACAGAGGCTGCTCCCTAAACCCTGTACTCTCTCTCTAATGCTTGCTCTCAGCTAGTTCTTAACTCAAACACTGTGCTTATGTCAAAGCAGAACATGGGCTGAGCAATAGCTCGTAACTCAAAACACTCTTACATTGAAATGCTCTTAGGTCAAGGTTCCACTGTATTATAATTATCTTATATTTACATGTTATATAACCTTCTTCGCCTAGTCTTCTAATAGACTGCTTTTTAGATTGTGGGTCCTGATCCCAAATGAGGTCTCCTTAGCTCTATGTCATGAAAAATTTAGCAACAGTAAAAGGTTTTTGAATGCCACTCGTTTACACAAATTTGGAGCGCAAACCTGCAGTGCTCACAGTGGACTCTGCACAAAATGCTTCAGCTGTCCTCCCCAAAAGGGAAAAACAGCCTGTATTGCAAGCCTTGCAAATGTTGATTTGTTATAAGTAAATGTTTGACTTTTATACCTATTTTATATACCTGCATATCTGGGTCACATAAAAATTTCTCGGCTAGAAAAAGGTCAAAAGTGAAAAAAGTTTAAGAAACGTTGTTCTAATGCACATTCAATGAAGGCTATTCTTATTAATAGTGTATGTATTACTGGTAACTTCCACCATAAATAATTTTTGCCAATTATGTAGTTTATTTTATTTTTTCATGTCAGGAGTGACTTGAGAAACTGCAAGTCGCTTCTGGTGTGAGAGAATCGGCCGTCTGCAAAGACGCTGTCCACGGGATGCCCGGATGTTTTACCATCCTGTGGGTGGTTTTTCTCATGTCCCCGTATGGGAAGCTGGTGCTGATAGAGTTCACCCCACTCCCCAGATTTGTACCACTGACCAGTCAGCAGTCCTGTCAGCACAAGGGTTTAACCCATTGTGCCACCGGGGCCTCCATCATGTGGTTAAGTTGTTGGAATATGGGCCTGGAGTTCTGAGTGACCGAGGTTCAAATCCTGACTCAATCACAGGAACTGACTGGGAGAACCCCAGTATGTCACATTCTCTCAGCCTTAGAAAAGAGAAATGATAAATCCCTTCTGAATAAATTCTGCTAAGAATTTTAAGTCAGAATGGATCAACACTGGATCTACATATAATCCAGTTTCAGAATGTAGATTAACTGCTTTAAATCTACACTGTATTATGAATCTACACTGATTATATGGCAGTTTAGATGGGCCCTCGAAAATGACTTGAAGGCACACTGCAACAAAAAAAATCACACAAGAAAACATGTTCATTGTGTCTCCGTTGTAACATCAAATTTGAATGTGATTTTTTTTTCAGGGAGTATTTCAATATCTTTGAACTTTCTCTTTTCCTTTCTGTATTATTATTCAGGTTTCAAATGAAGTTTTTTTACATCTCCCAGCTAGCATACTGGTTCCATGCCTTTCCAGAACTCTATTTCCAGAAGACAAAAAAAGTAAGCCTCCTTTAAAGTTGTGATCAGAAGCCTCCTTTAAAAAAAAAAGGGGGGGGGGGAAGCAATTTTTAATTAGCCAGAAAATAGGAACAGGAAATATAAGCTCTTCAAAGAACTGATTTTTAAGCATTGGGTATATTGGAAAGCTATTTGATATTCCTTAAACGTTGTCTGGATCTGTTACCTAATGTTGAATGTTAATTCTTTCATCTAACTTGTAATGTTATTCAAGGTCTCTGACTCTTCACATGAGGTCTTTAGCACAGGATAGCAAGGACATCTTCAGTCGGTTTCCTCTCCAAAAAAACTGGTTCATGCACTTGAAAACCTTCCATGAAAGTAGTGATCAACTGTTTGTTCATAACCATTTAGGCTCTAGTCAGGTATTCACTTACCTAGAAATATAAGATCTGCTCAGCTGTATGACTAAACTTATATAAGATTGAACTGTTAATTGCAAATAAGAAAACGTAACTGACAAATGGCAATTTTAGCATCTAAGATTTCAGACAGCATTGCAAATAATCTGTAGATCTTTTAAAGATTATTTTAGCAGGGGTTTGGATACAACATTGAGCCAATGATGTGGAACATGTAACCCTCTAGATAGAATGATGGTGGTGGTGGTGATGATGATGATGATTGGAACTTGTGCCACAAATACCATCTGCCTGTGACAAAGAACTGCTGGGATCACAAGCCTGAAAAGGTTACAGAAAATGAACATGTCAGACTACCCTGGGACTTCCAAATTCAGACTGAGTTTTGGAGCACAATACTCCTGACCTCATGATCATGGGAAAAAAACAAGTATGGATCATCCATGTTGCAATTCCAGATGACAACAGAATTGATGAGAAGCAACTGGAAAAGCTTACACGATATGAGGATTCAAAGTTAGAACTGCAAAGACTGGCACAAACCAGTAAAGGTGGTCTCAGTGATGATCAGCACACTGGGTGCAGTGTCTAAAGGCCTTGGCCTGCACTTTGAAAAAAATCAGTGCTGATAAAATTACCATCTGCTATATATTTTGTGCATTGGCATATCTTTGTGCCTAACAGTTCAGAGAGATAGCCAGGTATATCAGTGTAACAACTGAGAAGCCACAGGTGTGTGACATCATATTCAAGTTCTACGAATCTAAATTCCCCTTCAAAGGCAATATATTTTATGGGAGAGTAGATGTATTTTGAGTAACTGAAATAACATTTCTGAAGATCTTTGAGTCCCCCCAGGGGTGAGAAAGGCAGTATATAAATACTGTAAATAAATAAATAAGATCTGCTATATATTTTGTGCATTGGCATATCTTTGTTCCTAGCGGTTCAGAGAGATATCCAGGTATATCAGTCTAATAACTGAGAAGGCTAATTTGCCTTGCATGAATACTAGTGGATATTTATTTACCACTAAGGAGAAGATTCACTCAAATGAGTATTTAACTCTTCTCAGGAAGATCATACTTTACAAAAGGGTTGTGATTACTCCAAATAGTGTGCATGCCAGTTAATCTCCAAAAGGGTCACGTTTCCAAAAGGCTATGGAGTTTGTGGTTTTCCAAAAGGTTATGATCTAAAAGGTCATGCCTTTCAAAACCCAATCCACTTGTACCATGTTTTGTTTTCTTTTCTCACTGCCTCCAACTTTGTCTTTTCCAGTGAGTCATGTCATCTCATGCTATCTCCAAAGTAGCCTCATTTTTACTCATTTTGACCTGATTTACCACAGCTTGGTAAATTTACCATTTAAATGTTTTTTTTCAGTGATCTGTGGCACCCTATAGCTTTCTGAAACTAGAAATGGAGATGGAAACAGTTTGGGATAATACAAATCATACTGTTATCGTTATCACGCCTACAGGGATTGTCACTGCTACTGCCATTTGAAAGAGCTAGTTTATAGGAAAAGTTTTAATGTTTATATTGGAAAGTGTATGCTAAACTTTCAAAAGTCGTATATTATTTGATGTACAACTAGTACAATCAACAACTCATTCATTCATTTACATGTATGATACGTGTAATATATTTCACATAGTGCTAGATTGCTGGTTAACATTGTATCCAGGAAACCATTTCTCATAATAGTTTTCCGTAAGAATAACTTGATTATGAAAATGTATCTGTTGAAGTGCTTTTCTGTCGCGGGAAGAGAATACTTGTTGTGAGCCTTTGGGAATTAAGGCAAAACTAAATGAAGTGATGTTGCAAATCTGTCATCTCTGGTTTCTGATGATGTCGATACAAAATGGAACCGAAATGCAAACATTTATTATTTTCTGCCTTCAAATCTGTCACATTAGCACAGAAATTTCTGGATAGCTCAGCACTTGCTATGCCAAATACAGCAAGAGCTTGCTCTTTACCCACTAACACAAATCAGCCTTTTCCTTTGCTGAACATGCAAGGCTTGAATTATGACATGCCTAATTTGGACAGTGTGTCCTTTAAAATGGCAGGTCTGCAAACAGGGAAGGCAGTCTTGTATGACATAAATATCAGTGTGTCATTACACCATTGGATTGTGAGTGGTGCTCCTGAATCTAGTTAAGAGGTTGAGCAACACTAATATCCAATTGTGTGTTAACATTGCGAAAATCTGGACTGTTGCAGTTTAGAACATGGCACAGGGAACTGGGAAATGTGTGTTATAGGAAACCTATTAGTGTATAAAATTCTCCTTTTCATGTATTAAACTTGATAGAATTATAGAGTTGGAAGAGACTACAAGAGCCTTCCAGTCCAACACTCTACCATTCAGGAACGCACACAAAGCATCCCCGACAGATGGCCATTCACCCTTTGCTTAAAACTTTCAGAGAAGGACTTCATGTGTCTTTTTATGTGTACATTAACAAAAAGGAACAGAAATTATTTTCCTGACTATCTTTTAGGTCAGAGATAAGGAGACTGGACAATTCTACCTCAAGTCCCAACAACCCTAAACAGCATGGCTGCTTTTCAGGTGATAGGAATTGTAGTCCATCAGCTCAGACCAGACCTGGAATACTGTGTCTAATTCTGGGCACTGCAATTTAAGGAATGTGTCCGGAGAAGGGCAACTAAAATGATCAAGGGTCTGGAGCACAAGCCCTATGAGGAGCAGCTGAAAGAGCTGCACATGTTTAGCTTACAGAAGAGAAGGCTGAGAGGAGACATGCTGGCCTTGTATAAATATGTGAGGGGAAGTCATCGGGAGGAGGGAGCAAGCTTGTTTTCTGCTGCCCTGGAGACTAGGTTGCAGAACAATGGCTTCAAACTACAGGAAAGAAGATTCTACCTGAACACTAGGAAGAACTTAGTCTCTGATCAAGGCATTACCTGACACTGTGTAGTACGTGTCTGTATAGTATATTTCCCTGGTTACCTGTAAACTCCTGTGTGTTTACTATTTATTTAACAGTTGTGCATCCATGGACTGTAATAAAGTTCTTATCTTCCTGGCTTTGAGAGCTGTTCAGCAGTGGAACTCCCTGCCCCGGAGTGTGGTGGAGGCTCCTCCTTTGGAGGTTTTTAAACAGAGGCTGGATGGCCATTTGTCAGGGGTGCTTTGAATGCAATTTTCCTGCTTCTTGGAAGGAGGTTAGACTGGATGGCCCACGAGGCCTCTTCCAACTCTGTGATTCTATTATTCTGATGAATGCAGTTTCCCTCCCTGCTGCTTTAGTATTTGTCTAAGAGAAACACTGTCAGACTAGCTGCTCAGTCAGAAAATCTAGGATTGGCTAAAAAATCAGATTAAGGGACAAAATCAAGCAAGGTGTGTATGGATTGAGCACTGAGAAGCAGCTCCCAACATTTGAAATACTGATCATGTTGTAACTTTTTCCATAGGAAGATATTCCTCGCCAGCTTGTCTACATTGGGCTTTATCTTTTCCATATCACTGGAGCTTATCTGTTAAAGTAAGTGATGCATATGTTTTTCCTGTCATCCTGGGACACCCATTGAGGACTGGGAATAACAATATCAAATGGATGAAGCAGTGCACAAACGTAACTCTACTTGTCCAAGGGGAATTTCTCCTTCCCTGCAGACTAGAACTGATGTAGGAGTGAAGAGGATTCTCTCATTATGGAAACCATTCTGTCAGTCGAAAAATCTCATTTGATTTCACTCATGATAAATAAATATAAATGCAACAGTAAAATGCAGTGTTTCTTATAATGCATTGCAATGGATGTTGCGTTTTGCCCTATATAAAGGCTGCCGTAGAAATCTGCCTAAATTTTTGGATTTCAAAAAGACAGGTATGTCATAAGCATAAAAGTCAGGTTTCATTTGCATTGTGCTTTTGGGGCTTCAAAGAACATCATTCCATCTTTCCTAAACCTCTGGCAAATAAATGCAGGTTCATATCTGAATGTTATCTGTAGAATTTGTCTCAAAAGCACACAAACCTATTGTCCAAGATAGTAATCATTTTGCAAAATACTTTTCATTTCTCTCTACTCTTGAAAACAGACGCGAGGGTCAAGTGGGTATCTGACCTTCAAACAACAAAATATTCAGGATACATTTTATGTTTTGTTTTCGTGTTGGCTGCCTCGTTGCATTATAATTAGGCCTTGATTATCCTCTTGAAAAGTAGGTGCTTAATATTTGAAATATAGAAACGTGTTTGAATATGAACACCAGCTTGGAATTCGTGGAATTGTTGATTATTTAACTTATATCCTACTTGCCTCCCAACATGGGGCCCAGACAAGATTATAACCTAGATCAGTGGTTCTCAACCTGTGGGTCCCCAGATGTTTTGGCCTTCAACTCCCAGAAATCCCAGCCAGTTTACCAGCTGTTAGGATTTCTGGGAGTTAAAGGCCAAAACATCTGGGGATCCACAGGTTGAGGGCCATTGAGCTAAATGAAAACAAAATACATCTCCAAAACTATTAATAAAAATTTAAAATAATTAAATAATCATCTCTCAGAGAGTCAATATGCTGTAAGCATTTCAGTATTGGACTAAGACTTTGGAACCTTCACTTGATCATGCTAGCCCATTGGGTGGCATTGGGCAATTCACATTATCATAGCCTGAAGACACACAGCAACAAATTAAAACCGATAATTTAAAACCCTTTTAAAATCCCTTGCAGAACATTGTAAAATGATAAAACTACAACCAGGCACATTAATAAACCTTCCACCTTGACCAGTTAACAGCCACGGTAATGGTAAAAGTTTCCCTTGGCATTAAGTCTAGCTCTGTCCGATTCAGGGGGGTGGTGCTCATCTCCATTTCTAAGCTGAAGAGCCGGCATTGTCAGTAGACACCTCCAAGGTCATGTGGCCAGCATGACTGCATGGAGCGCCGTTACCTTCCTGCAGAAGCGGTACCTATTGATCTACTGACATTTGCATTTTTTCAAACTGCTAGGTTGGCAGAAGCTGGGCCAAACAGCGGGAGCTCACTTCGCTCCCCGGATTCAAATCACCAACCTATAGGTTTAGCAACTCCGCAGTTTAACCTACTGTGCCAACAAGGGGTTCACAGCCAAAGACCGATCTAAATAAAAAGATAACATACAATCAATGTAAAATCTGTTTCATCAGTGTGCCAATTTGAGGAAGGTGGACAGTGGCTCAGGTCCTTCCTAGAGGGTCGCACCCAGATGGTGTTGCTGGGGGACAACTGCTCGCCCTCACAACCATTGACTTGTGGGGTCCCGCAGGGTTCAATATTGTCCCCCATGTTATTTAACATCTACATGAAGCCGTTGGGAGAGATCATCCGGAGTTTCGGGGTGCGGTGTTATCTGTACGCAGATGACGTCCAACTCTGTCACTCCTTCCCACCTGTTACTAAGGAGGCTGTCGAAGTCCTGAACCGGTGCTTGGCTGCTGTGTCGGACTGGATGAGGGTGAACAAATTGAAACTCAATCCAGACAAGACAGAGGTACTCCTAGTCAGTCGAAAGGCCGAACAGGGTATAGGGTTACAGCCTGTGTTGGACGGGGTCGCAGTCCCCCTGAAGACGCAGGTTCGCAGCTTGGGTGTGACTCTGGATTCTTCGCTAAGCTTGGAACCCCAAGTTTCAGCGGTTTCCAGAGGAGCATTTGCACAGCTTCGGCTCGTGCGCCAGCTGCGCCCGTATCTTGGGAAGTCGGACTTGGCCACGGTAGTCCACGCTCTCGTCACATCCCGCATAGATTACTGCAACGCGCTCTACGTGGGGTTGCCCTTGAAGACTGCCCGGAAGCTTCAGATGGTCCAGCGCTCGGCAGCCAGGTTGCTAACGGGAGCGGCACTCAGGGAGCACACCCCCCTGTTGAGCCAGCTCCACTGGCTGCCAATTCGCTACCGGGCACAATTCAAGGTGCTGGCTTTAGCCTATAAAGCCCTAAACAGTTCTGGCCCTGCTTACCTCTCCGAACGCATCTCCACCTATGAACCGACGAGGACGTTAAGATCGTCCGGGGAGGCCCTGCTCTCGGTCCCGCCAGCGTCACAAGCGCGGTTGGCGGGGACGAGAGACAGGGCCTTCTCGGTGGTGGCCCCTCGGCTATGGAATGCCCTACCAGTGGACATCAGGCAGGCCCCTTCGTTGCTGGTGTTTCGGAGGAGGGTTAAGACGTGGCTCTATGAGCAGGCGTTTGGACAACTATGCAATGACAACTAACTCAGTAAGACGGCATTGAACAAGGAACGAAAAAAGGACTATGAGAACGGGATCTGATTCTAATTGAGGCGTTGATGACTGTGTGTGTTGTTTGTGTATGTACGTCTTATATATTGTCAGTGTTGCCATTTTTACTGTAAACCGCATTGAGTCGCCGTCGCAGGCTGATATATGCGGTATACAAATGGAGTAAATAAATAAATAAATAAATAAGGTCAGTATGACATTCCGAAAGATATATTTTATGACGTGGTCCAATAGATGCCTTGAATCTTTGCCAACCCCACCTTTTTCATTTTCTTTGTCACCACGTCAAATAGAAAGAAAACAAACAGCTGCCAGATGATCCTTTAAACTGAGTTCACTAAGCTTTGGTTGAATGGGACTCTGTGATATCAGCCAATGGGGATAGCTATAGGAAAGGGAAAGAGAATAAAGAATATTGCCCCCTAATTCTAGCATTGCACTAACCTCAAGCTTCAGCTGAGCATGGTTTGGGTATTGAAAAAGGAGCCACAATACCAATGGAATGTAAACACAGAAAATACAGGAGTTCTAGGCATGAAGGATTTTCCATGTGCCACTCCTTGTAATGCTAGATATTTGAGGCATGAAGGAAAATTTCTTGGCGTGGGGGGTCTTTCTTACCCTACAGCCCTCTCCTTTTTTCTTCTTTTTTCTTTTTTGTCGTGTCAAGAGCAACTTGAGAAACTGCAAGTTGCTTCTGGTGTGAGACAATTGGCCTTCTGCAAGGACGTTGCCCAGGGGACGCCCAGATGATTTTGATGTTTTTATCATCCTTGTGGGAGGCTTCTCTCATGTCCCCACATGAGGAGCTGGAGCTGATAGAGGGAGCTCATCCGTCTCTCCCCGAATTTGAACTGCGACCTGTCGGTCTTCAGTCCTGCCAGCACAAGGGTTTTACTCACTGTGCCACCGGGGGCTCCTATTGATTGATTGATTGGTTTGTTTGCTTTATAACCTACTTTAGTTCCAGAAGATCATCATCACATTTGGTGATCGCCTGAAAGCTATCTGTAAAAGTAACTCCTTCCAAGTTGAAACTCTTTCAAGAGAGAATAAGCTGATCCTCTTCCGTTATCAAGCAAAGACCTTTGTGGTCAGGCAGGCTTTCGAAAATGATCTAGCTGTTGAGAAAGAGGCTTTTAACAGATTAAAATGGCTAATTTGTATTTTTATGTACTTTAAAAAATTAAGTCAATATTTTTTTAATTATAATTTGTTTAATTGAGTCTCTGGAGAATAACTTTGTAAGTTTCTGTTTGGACCTGCTATTATCAGATTGTATTTGTACTTCTTTTATACCTGTGGTAAGTCACCTTGAGTTGTACTATAGGGCAGGTTGTGCAAGTCAAATAAATAGATTGCCAAAATCCTGTATAAAATAAAAAGACTTTATCATATAATAGAAGGACGCCAGGGAAAGGGCCTTTCTAGCATTCTAAAGCAAGGACTTTCACAGCTTGATAGCAGCTACTGAGAAGGACTTTGAACTTTGTATGGGGGAAAAGTTGGTTACTGCCCTTTTGTTTCATAAAGAAACAAAGAGAGTGCATTGACAAATCATTACTTCTGTCTCTTCAGAGGGTTTTGCCCCTCTTCCTCCTTCCCTTTTAATCGTTTAACAATTTAAAGACCAGTTCTAGTTAACCATCTGAATGAAGCCACTGGGTAAAGCCCATTGATTCAATGGCTCTACTCAAATGAAGGCTAAGCCATACCAGGCCCTCAAATTGCCAAGTAGTCACTTTAAAATGAGCAATTGGCACTAAAAACAAAAAACGAACGAAATAGACTGTTGACAGAGAAAAGCAGAAATAGAGGTTACTAGCCAACCTTTTCCCCCTCAAAATGCTCCACAAATTAAGTCATGTCTTCACTGTGTTGTTGATGGCTTTCATGGCGAGAATAACTAGGTTGCTGTGAGTTTTCTGGGCTGTCTGGCCACATTCCAGAAGCATTCTCTCCTGATGTTTCACCCACATCTATGGCAGGCATCCTCAGAAGATGTGAGGCCTGTTGGAAATAAGGCAAGTGGGGTTTATGTATCTGGAATGTCCAGGGTGGGAGAAATAACTCTTGTCTGTTGGAGGCAAGTGTGCGTGTTGCAATTCGTCACCTTGATTAGCATTTAATGGCCTTGTAGCTTCAAAGCCTGGCTGATTGCTACCTGGAGGGGTCCTTTGTTGGGAGATGTTAACTGGCCCTGATAGTTTCTTGTCCAAAATCCTCCTGCTTTTTGAGTGTTCTTCTTTATTGACTGTCATGATTTTAGAGTTTTTTTACTACTGGTAGCCAATACCATGCAACTGTGGACAAGTCTACATAGGGACCACCAAATGCAGTGTTGCCCAAACACGAATCAAGGAACATGAAAGGCACTGCAGGTTAATTCAGCCAGAGAAGTCAGCTATAGCAGAGCACCCGATGAATCAACCTGGAAACAGCATATTAATTGAGAACACAGAAATGCCGGACCACTCTCAGGACCACCATGTCAGACTTCACAGAGAAGCCATTGAAAACCACAAGCATGTGGACAATTTCAACAAAAAGGAGGAAACTGTGAAAATGAACAAAATCTGGCTAGTGATATTTTTTTTTTAAAAAAACCCTCTAAAATCAAGATAGTAAATAAAGAGCAACACTCAAAAAGCAGGGGAATTCCAGACAAGAATTAATCAGGGTCAGCTAACACCTCCCAACAAAGGATTCCCCAGGCAGCAATCAGCCAGGCTTTGAAGCTGCAGGGCCATTTAATACTAATCAAGGTGGCTAATTGCAACATTCACACTTGCCCCAAGCACACAAGAGTTATTGCTCCCATCCTCGGTGAAACATCAGGAGAGAATGCTTTTGGAACATGGCCATCCAGCCCATAAAACTCACAGCAACCAATATCTTCACTGTTTGCCCAAAATACTCTGGTTCCTCTCTCAGACATCTGTTTCATGTCCTGTACGATCACAAGCTTCATTCAGGATGGCTTGTAAATCCCAAGGGCTTTTTCTCTTTCAACCCAGTTATCACTATGTCTGAGGGGCCTATACAATCCTAGGGAAAGATTTTAATTTTCTGTTGCTTCTTGACAGCAGTCATGGGGAGTGGGCTGTGTTCATGCCTGAAAAGCAGGGTTGACTCCTCTGTGACTATCAAAATATCACTACATGTAACATGATCTTAATTCACAGATGAATAACTGAATGTTCAATTAATCAGCAATTCATATTGTGTCCTTTGCTTTTGTTTTTGTAGTTTGACCCACCTTGGACTTGTTCTTCTGGTTTTACATTATTTTGTGGAATTTCTGTTCCACATCTCCAGACTCTTTTACTTCAGTGATGAGAAATATCAGAAAGGGTAAGTGCTCCACTGCAATGGCAGTCGGTGCTCCCATATCAATATGCTGATGGATCCACACCAGCTATTACATGAAACTGTAAACATCCACGGTGCTGAATTGGCCCAATATCTCCTAAATGTTCAAGCTAAAATTGTTGGAAATAACAACTTTCGACAAGCCTCCTATGCTAGTTATTTTTTTTGGTATATAGTTCAGATTTCTTACTATATTTTATGTATATTTTGATATGGAGTTTTCCCTGAACTCTATGTTGTTTGAGGTTGTGGGAGGGACTTGCAGACCATGTGACCAGATCTGGGACTATTCAGGCTGAGACTCCGTTCTAGAAGTCATTTGCATCTGAAGCAGTGCAGTTTATGAAGTCAGTAGTGTCAGTATGCTGTAGTGTTTAGTCAGTCTGTATTGAGTCAGTGTTCAGTAATGTATTAGACCGAAGAGAGTGTTAGTCTGTATGCAACAAAGATGAGACTGAAACAGTATGCTTTCGAGAACTTACTGTTTAAACTGTCACTCAGTAAGAAATGTACATGTATGCTGAATACATGAAGTTTGTAAATTACTTTTAATGAAGACTATGTATCTTTGGTCTCTTGAGAGCATGATTTTATGGGAGAGTAGATTTCTTTTTGGGCAACTGAAATAACAGTTCTGAAGATCTGCTATAAATATTTTTGCATTGGCATATCTTTGTTTGTAACCATTCAGAAAAATAGCCAGGTATATCAGTCTAACAACTGAGAAACCTAATTTGCCTTGCATGAATACTGGTGGATATTTACTACTAAGGAGAAGATTCACTCAAACAAGTATTTAACTCTTTAATTCATTCCACATTGTCAAATCCTATCAATTCTAGTCGTCATTGTCCTTTGTCTATCTGCCAGATTACCCAAAGGCCTGGTCCCATATCCATGTTTTTAGTTTCCTTCTCAGGAAGATCATACTTTACAGAAGAGTAATGATTATTCCAAATAGTGTGAATGCTGGTTAATCTCCAAAAGGGTCATGTTTCCATAAGGCTATGGAGATTTCTGTTTTCCCAAAAGGTTATGGTCTCTAAAAGGTTGTGGCTTTCCAAAAGATGCAGCACCATCACTAACATCAGAGAGAGCATGGCTCTTTTAATGATTCAAACTGAAAGTATGCCTACAAATACCATTTATATATTTCCAGCTAACCTGAGGAAAGGGGTAGAAAGGTGCTAATGTTGGACCTATTCAGGAAATACTACTTGCTTTTGTATAAATTGAAGGGAGCCTCTTTCATAGAAAAACAGTATGTGTTTTCTTTAAAAAAATTGTTTGCAAACATACAATTTTATTTGGTTACTTCATTATCAGCATTGCAATAAAATATGTGATTCTAAGTGTAGCCATTCGGTCCCTTCCTTCTAGGTTTTCAGTCTGGGCCGTGCTTTTTGTCTTGGGAAGACTCCTGACCTTGATTCTTTCTGTACTTACTGTGGGATTTGGCCTGGCCAGAGCAGAAGATCAAACATTGGATTTTAGTACTGGAAACTTCAACGTGCTGCCAATCAGGTATAATGCAGAAACTGTTTCAAATAGTACACCTTATTCATCATGGCAACTCTATGTTCAGAGCAGAATTGAACATAGTCATGCTGGGTGCAGGGATATGGGAGCTGCTATTAGAAAAACAACAACATATTATTGCACTGGACAACACATGTTGATGCCTCACGTATTAACCCTATATCTGGGTGTATTTGATCTGCTGATTTATTTATTTATTTACTAAATTTATATGCCATCCCTCTCAGACTGCAAGCAACTAAGGACTGTTTACATTTGGTACCAAGACCATAAAATACAATTTCAATACAATAATTCCAAATAGGGCACCAGTTGTCCTATATCAGCTCAAGTTTTTTAGATATAGAACATATGCCATCTTCCAGTTGCATCTGCTAGCCCATAGAAAACCATGATAACTGTATCTAAGAAACTAGCACTGATATGGTCTATCCAATGCAATTTTCTGAATCAACACACTTAAAAACCCCGGGAATAGGCCTAAAAAACCAAGAAACCAAGAAAAAAATGTTTCTGAATGGGTTGTGTTATGATAGTTTTATATCTAGCTGCATAGCGTTTGTCACTGTGATATACCATTCATGAAATTGGATTACAAAATTATGGCGAGAAATACCCCTCAGAATATAATATAAGGTGTAGTCTCCTGGTTAAATAACTAGATTTCTCTTGAAAAATCACAGATAAGTTATTGCATCATGATGGAGAATTCCTGTGGTGCATTGAGATTGTGCCTTTAAGAGCATACATTCTTGTATTATTACATGGAAACATATGAATATGCCTTATACTGAGTCAAACCATTGATTCATCCAGATCAGACCTGTTCATCCTGTGGGTGTTTGGGACTCCCAACTCCCAGAAGCCCTAACCAGCTTATCCAGTAGACAGGAATTCTGGGAGCTGAAGTCCACAGGTTGTACAGACTTGGTCTAGACCAGTGGTTTTCAACCTGTGGGTCCCCAGCTGTTTTGGCCTACAACTCTCAGAAATTCTAGTCAGGTTACCAGCTGTTAGGATTTCTGGGAGTTGAAGACAAAAGCATCTGGGGACCCACAGGTTGAGAACCACTGGTCTAGACCAGCATTGTCAATAGTGGTTGATTAGAGTTATAGGCAGGATTCTTCAGAGTATAAGTGTTAAGTTGTTCTGTAACTGCATCAATTATGACACTGATTTGCACAATGCATATAATATGTACAGTAAGATTATTATTAGTATCAATATCATGGGAAAAATACATATAAACATCAATTATTCAATCAAGAAAAACATCCATGATAAACATTAAACAATAAGTTCCCATTCACAAAATGTTGTGAGTTTTCTTGCCCATGGAAGAAGCAGATGTAAAGCAAGAGTCATATTTTTATATGTACCATTTAGATAGTAGACTGTGACCCCTTAAAGGAAATATATTATTAGATATATGAGTATGGAACATTAATTGATAGGAAGTATTGCCCTGTATGCAACAAAAACTTGCAAATATATATCTACTTAAATAAAAAATTTAAAAATGAAGGTGAGGTTTTGAAGGCTTCATGGATGAGGTCAGTTAGGAATTGTGCGAGGCTGATGAGGTTTCCTGCCTCGGCCTGACAAATGGTCTTATTCATGTTTCCTGCCTCCCTGTAGGGCACATTACATCCAAGGGCATATCCATTTTTGTAGTACTCAAAATTGGATGTTGCATAATACTTGAGTAAATATGGGTATATCGTGCTCCTGTAGTTGCACTGAACTGTAGCATCGAATGTACCAATCACAAGGCAATTAGAGACTTATAAACTGCCTTTAAGGAAATATCTTCCCAACAGGAACAGTTTTCTTAAATTTGTCATATCTGAATTTTAAGTAATCTTAATAGTCTTATCTCTTCTATTTGTAGAATCAGCGTTTTGGCTTCCATCTGTTTAACACAAGCCTTTATGATGTGGAAGTTCATTAATTTCCAACTGAGAAGGTGGAGAGAACATTCTTCACCTCCCCAACCAGTGAAAAAGAAGTTTGTAACAGCTAAAGGCAAGCCTTCCAGAAAAGAAAGAGGTTTGTGCTTCTTTTTTAATGCTCTGTTTTTGGTGGATGGGGGAAGACAGATACTTGCATTTCCTGCCACATTTAGGAGGCTGTAACCATTATGGTTTCCGGTAATTCAGTACTGGCTTCTGCAAGATCACCAAGTGGATATCCATGAATGAGCAGCGATTCAGGTTTGGTTTCCCATAGTCCTAGTCCTATATTCAAACCACAGTACCATGCTGGCTAGTGCCGAGTTAAAACATTTTATTCTCTGGTTTTCTCATGGATTTATGGCTTTTTTTAAGCACTGTTATTCAACTTAGCTGTTTGATAAGAACTGCATATTAACAGAATTGGAATTAACACACAATTTTCGGTAAGGCTTGGGTTTTACAAACTACTTTGGAATGGAGATTTCAGAAAGGTTGATACCTTATACACTAAATAAAAAATATTACTCTTGTGTAATTGCACTATGGTATTTGGTAATCCAGGAGCCTGCGGTGGCGCGATCATTGTGCCGGCAGGACTGAAGATCAACAGGCTGGAGGTTCAAATCCGGGGAGAGTGCAAATGAGCTCCCTCTGTCAGCTCTAGCTCCCCATGTGGGGATATGAGAGAAGCCTCCCACAAGGATGGTAAAACATGAAAATATCCGGGTGTCCCCTGGGCAATGTCCTTGCAGATGGCCAATTCTCTCAATTTCTCAAGTTGCTCTTTACACACACACACACAAAATAAAAAATATATTAAAAATAAAAATGGTAATTCAAATTTGTTTATTTTTTACTTATTACTAAATATTGGAATTTCTCAAGTCACTCCTGACACAGAAAAAAAACCCCAAAGATTGGAGAAGGTCCTTTTTGGATTATGACATCCACAAACCACAGCCAGAATAAGGCCCCCTGGGTATTGTAGTCTTAAGAATCGTGACTTCCTTATAAATCAATTCTAAAGAAATGTATGTCAAGCTGTTGTAAGTCTTTGAGTGCGCTAGGTTTTGTACTTAAAGGAAAGATGGTTAACCATATGTGTTTTCTTCTTTTTAGAAAATGGAATCAATGGAACATTAACCTCAAATGGAGCAGACTCACCTCGCAGCAGAAAAGAAAAATCCTCCTAAAACAGAACTTTCTTAAGTTAATTGACTAATATCCCCAAAGAGAACTGCTTTTTACTTTGGAAAGTCCTTCAGCACCAGAGTTCCTATTGTTAACAAAAAAATTTAATGCTTTTTTATTATTGTCACCATAATGCTTTGTTTAACTTTTTAAAATCTTTTAACTGAAGAGAGGGCCACATTATTTTTTTAATACCTTTGAAAATGTTTTGAGTATGAATTGGAATCCACTTTGCCAAAATCAATGAAACAACCTGCCATTCCTTCCAGCTTTATAGAGGTGAATATAGTCCATTCCAAAAAAGTGTTATAATGTTCCTGTTTTTAAAGGGAACTCAAAGTTGAAGTTTAAACATGTAACACCATATCTTTTTTTAGATATTCTCTAACACCTAGGTGTCTATATTGATTTTACAGTTCACAATGGAATTTGTAAACCACCAAAATAATATCCATTATTTTGTAGATGGTATCTACAGTGATTCAAAAAAATCCCTTATTAAAATACAGTTGGACTGATTAAAATGTTGCTGTGTTTCTATGTTATCGGGAGATTTTTCCTTGTGTAATCTACTTTTGCTTAATTTGACATGTATTTTGTGGGGTAAGCTGCCTTGATAACCACAAAGCACAAGTAGTGTTTATGTATATTATAGAATGGCTCCAGACTGCTACTTTGGTCAGATGGTTCCTCTTGTTCATGGAAGTAACTTGGATCCAGTGTGTCAGTGTCACCTGGGGTACATGGGGATGCTCTTTCAATGGTGATGCCAAGAATTGCTTTTTCTCCCAATACCACCTCCCATCAGGAACCCCCAGTGGTGCAATGGGTTAAACCCTTGTGCTGGGAGGACTGCTGATCAATAGGTCAGCGGTTCGAATCTTGGGAGAGCAGGTAGAGCCCCCTCTATCAGCTCCAGCTCCCCATGTGGGGACATGAGAAAAGCCTCCCACAAGAATGGTAAAATATCAAACATCCGGGCATCCCCTGGGCAATTGTCTCACACCAGAAGCGACTTGCAGTTTCTCAAGTCGCTCCTGACAGAAAGAGGGGAAAAAAAAACATCTCCCATACTGATTTTGTGTAGGTTTTCCTATCCTTCCAAAGTGCATTGTATGAGTCTGCAAGAGGAAAAGGGGAACTGGCAAAATAGTTCCACAGTACCATCCAAGCACAATAGGATCTAGCCATAAAACTGCGAACAAAACCATTCTTGTTTGATTTTGGATGCTAAACAGCATTGGACGTGGTTCGGACTTAGGAAACTTCCAGGGAATACCTGGATCTCTAGGTTAGATTAGGAACAATCCTGCCTAAAGACCTGGAGTGCTACTGCAAGTCAGAGATGATAGCCTAAAGCTCTGACTCAGCGTGACAGCTGATTATGTTTTGATCCATTGATTTGCCAACAGATTGAATCTTTACTGGGTAACCGTATCCTTCTTAATCCTTATTCGTGTGTAATGTCTTAGATAAGTACAGGAATCCAGGCAAGTGATTGATGGCTGCTGAACCCAAGTCTAAGTTGACATCTCTTGAGTTTTGAATTAGGAGCCCCTTGTGGTGCAATTGGTTAAACCCTTGTGCTGGCAGGATTGCTGATCCAAAGGTCAGCGGTTCGAATCCAAGAAGTGGGGTGAGCTCCCATCTGTCAGCTGCATCTTCTCATATGGAGACATGAGAGAAGCCTCCCACAGGATGGTAAAACATTCTGGCGTCCCCTAGGCAACATCCTTGTAGATAGCCAAGTCTCTCACACCAGAAGCAACTTGTAGTTCTCAAGTCGCTCCTAACACAGAAAAAAGAAACTGAACAGAGTAAGATCAAGAGTCCTTATAAAGGAGCGTTTCCTAACATGTGGATGTTTTTTACTGGCATTCAAGTGTTTTCAGAAATCTCTAGTCAATACAAGGATGTTTCTGTCGGATTCTGACAAACATGTAGATAAGGATATAGATTTATCATGACTAAGTACTGGGCAAGTTTAAGATGGAAATCGATTCTGGTTTTTTTCTCCATGATCAGACTACCAAAAGATTTAAATACAAAGTTTAATAAGGTCAAATCTGAACTAAAACGTTTGAGAAAGACTTGAAGGCTGTGTGGGTTCCCAGCTAAATCTTGGACTAATCCTACCAAGGTTGCCTATGGAAGCTGTCTGTAGCTACTTTGCTATAACTCTATTTCAAAAATGTTGGCCTTCTAGCTATTGCAGAGCTACAACTACAATCACAGCCAAACATTGGTTATGTTGGAGCCCCTGGTGTCGCAGTGCTCATGCAGGGACATGAAAGAAGCCTCCCATAGGATGTTAAAAAATCCGGGCGTCCCCTGGGCAACATTCTTGTAGACGGCCAATTCTCTCACACCAGAAATGACTTGCAGTTTCTCAAGTTGTTCCTGACATGGAAAAAATGGTTATGTTTTCTTGGATTGATGGGAGCTAAGATTCAACAGCTGTCCCAGCTCTCCTTTACCAATAATTATGTGCAAAGTCCATGAGAAGAAAAAATAATGCAGTATCAATAATAATCTTACAATGAGCTTTGATCATAAAATATTCTTAATTGTAGCTACCTTGTTCCAGGGTCATTAGAACCATTCCCAGTTCTGATCTTTGAAGGAGGACCACTCCTCATCCTTATTTATTTATTTATCTACCATATTTATATACTGCCTTTCTAAGGTCTCAGCAACTCAAGGCGGTTTACAATCGGCATAATTCAATGCCCCCAACAACATAAAATATAGTTAAAACATTAACATATAATATAAACCATATAAAAACAATAAAAACAATTATACACAAGTCCTCAGTGTCCCATTACTAAAATCATTTTCCAGTTGCGTCATCCAATTGTTCAGTGGATCTAAATTAGCCTGCAAATGCTTGCTCAATAAGCCAGGTTTTAACTCTTTTCGAAATGTTAGAGGGGCCGATGTGATATCCCTAGGGAGGGCATTCCATAGCCGAGGAGCCACCACTGAGAAGGCCCTGTCTCTCGTTCCTGCCAATTGCATCTGCAAAGGAGGCAGGCGGGACTGAGGGCAGGACCTCCCCAGACCATCTTAGAGACCTAGGTGGTTCATAAGGAGTGATGTGTTTGGACAGTAAGCTGGGCTGGAACCATTTAGCAGTGGTTCTCAACCTGGGGTCCCTGGTAAACTGGCTGGGATTTCTGGGAGTTGTAGGCCAAAAACATCTGGGGACCCCAGGTTGAGAACCACTGATTTAGGGCTTCACAACATTCTTTGACAATAAGGCTTGGGTCACATGACAACAACTAGACAATTGAAATTAAAGCAACTTAATTCTGAGGGAGTGTCAACTAGTTTCTGCTGTGTTCTAAGAACATTCACAATGTTAATGAAATCAAAGCAATGCTGATTTCGCCTTCTGTATTTGTAGCACTTTGCCAGTAGACTATCGAAATGGTTGTATATCGTGTAAGTAGGTGGTTCTATATGATTACTGAGATCTTTTTTGGGGCATCATTTTCAGCAAAGAAGGGAGGAATATCTCTGGATGGATGGGTTATTCCTCCCACTCACTCCCAACAGGAGAAAATTAGTAGATCCTTTTGATATCTATACTAAAAGGAGCAATCCTCACAAAGGTCAGTCTTATTCTGACATCTCGCTCCAACAAGATACACTTCACTGTTTCTTTTTCTTCACTCCAGAACATTCACATACCTTCTTTTTCCTTTTCCTCTTTGCTCTCCTTCAGTGGGCAAAATGCCCTCTAATTCTACTTTCTCTCCTTTAAATAATAAGAGACCCCTTTCCCTTCTGCTTTTCACCCATCTACTGCCTCTTCCTTCCCCTCTTTCCTCTGGGAGCTCAAGAAGCGATTCTATCAATGGACATGTTCAGGCTTTCCTGGACAAAGGATAATTCTGCTTCTGGTGAGCAGGAAATCCTTGCAGGGGGGCACCTGGGCATTGAAGAGACACAGGAGCAGGTGAGGAAAAATCCTGATTCTCTGTTCCCTTGCAATGTTACAATCCAGCCTGAAACGAGCCACTGGGAGAGGCATTAAAGAAGTCACAAGTATAGGGAGGTGCAGTATGGTGAGAAACGGCTTCCTTTCAAGCTCATGGCTTGGCTCCAGGCACTAATCATACAGGAAGTTGCTACCATTTTGGCAGCAGATGCTACTTCATTGGCAGCTCTGAGTCATACCACTGGAAGGGCAAAAAGGATGCAAGAGGACATATGATCTCTCTTCTCCCTCTCCATGTCCTATGGCACATGGCACCCTTGAAGGAGAGACAGAGCAATTCACAGACTAGGACACGCCATACTGGTAAGCTAGATCATATCCATGCCCTTTCACTTACCTGCAAAACTGGTATGTGGGACGAAACAGAGACCTCAACTTCTAGTCCTAAGAGACACCATCTTGATCCAAAGAGAACTAGCCAAACTACACCACATATTAGAGCTGGAGGTTTTGGCCCCAGAATTTGAAGCCACTGGTCAGGCACGCCATGGTCCTCTAGCCCAAACCTAAAAAAAGTCCATCCAGTTCTGGCAGCATGACCTATGCCATGCATTCCCCAGGGCAGGATTGTGTGGATGATTATACCTCTTGTGTCTTCGGATGAGGATCTAGTCCTAACGATCCCTTACTCTTTGTGCATATTCAAGACAAATAAAGCCAATCATAACATTGGATCTCAGCCCTCCCCCCCCCCCCTTTTTTTTTTTTTTTGAGGTCCCACAGCCCCAGGATTCAGCTCTGTCCTAGATTAGTGGGGAGTTTTTTCCAATAGCAATGGCTTGGAAAGAGGAATGAGATAAAGCTGCCTGCGACAGGCCCAATCCACAATATGTTACCCAGTTCAATAGCCTTCCCAGAAATGTTATATCTAAATTACAAAGTTCAATTGGTTGATGCAGCCATGTCAACGCTGGTATAATTAGACATTTATTTCAAGGATGGCAAAGATGAACTAAAATGTACAGAGGATAGGAAGGCTGAGGCAGCCCCTAAAGTGCACAAAGTCTCTTCCCTGGCTTTGAAGACAGCAATGTCAATTTTCATAATGTCTAAAGCCTCGTTGCTCTGGGCTAAGGAAAGTTTAGGGGGCATTCTCACCAATGAGCTCAGGCAGGGAATGCACAAGCTAACAGAGGTGGCAGTCTTCACAGCTGATGCTGGCTTGGATGCAATTCAGCTTAATGCCAGATCTCAGGTGGTGTTGGCAGTGGTGAGGCAACAACTGTGGGGTAACCTGACCAAGCAGAGCCTAAATTTTACATTTTCCCTAGGAATAAAATATTTCGGAGAGCCTATCCTGGTTAAGACTAAGGTCGAAAATAATCACAGGATGTCTATGCCCTACACCACTGGAGAAATTATACTGTTTAGCTGGTATTGCACCACCTGGCATCTGCTGGGACATAGCAGCCAAAAATGAAAGGACCAAGGCAGTGACATCTCCGGCCCACCCCCTGTTCGGATATGAGGGGCTGCTGATAAATCTTTGGCTTTACCCAGAAAGAAACTAGATAGGAA